CTCGCCGCCGAGAATCGGCCCCTCGTGACCTCGTCGCCGTTTCCCCCTTCTCCCGCCGCCGGTTGCCGCCGCCGCAATTCACCGCCGTCGGGCATCCTCCGGCGAATCCGAGCCGTTGGCTCGTCTCCCCTCGTCTCGTGCAACCACCCAGTGTGCTCGCTTTCTCCTGTATCGCCGTGGTTCGCTCCGCCGCTCGCCGCTGTCGTCCGCCGTCCGTTCCGGCCGGCGTCGTCGTCTACCTCACGCCGGCCCGCGTGGCAGCCACGTAGGCGCCACGTCGGCGCCAGCTCGGCCGAGATCGGGTCGGGCCGACCCCGGTCAGTCCCTCCCGTGCGCGCGTTCCACCGCGAGCCGTGAGGCTGCGCGTGGGCCGGCCGCATCCGTTCCTCCGCGAACCGCGCGCGTGCACCGCGTCCCAGCCCCGCCCGCGCGCGCGTGCCGCGTGCTTGATCCGCACGGTGAACCGAATCACCGACAAGCGGGTCCCACCCGGGACCACGCGTGGTGAGCCCGGTCCACCGGCTCTCTCTCTCCTCCCTCCCGCGCGAGCGCGCGCCTTGGGCCACCTTGAGCCGCCTTGGGCCGGCCGGCCCATTTAGCTCGGCCGGACCGCCCCAATTCTCTCGGGCCGCACCCTAGCCGCCCGAGAAAAGTCTATATTCCCTCCCTCATTTCTTTTCTTTTATTTTCTTTTTCAAAAAGGATTTAATTAAATCCTTTTCCTTTAGACCAAAAATCCAACAATCTTAGAAATTCAATATCTTCCCAACCGTAAATCCGTTTGACTCCGTTCAACTTCCAAAATTCCTCAAATCTCGAGATCTATCTAATGGCATGCTTAGAGGTCATTAATAGGGCTTTATTTTCACCGTTTGTTGAGTTGTCCCGTTTCGCGTGTAGTTTCGGAGCCCGAAGACCCGCAGTGCGAGGATTTCGAGGATCAAGCTCCAGATCTCGAGCAAGGCAAGCCACCTTTGAACATCTTGAGCCTATATTTGAAACTTAATTATGTTGCTTGAAAAATATTATGCATTGATAGGATCGCACTTAATCTGTTTGTCCCGTCTGCAAGGCAGATTGGCGGACCTACCTAGCTTGTTGCATTTGATCCTTCCTCTGTTAATTGTCATACCATGTTCCCTTGTAACCACCCAGTTGCGCCTCGGAAATCGTGCACTCTGCACGAGTATCGACGGTCGCCTTCAAACTTAAAATCTGAAAAAACATCTTGGGTAAAACTTGGGTTTTACAAAAGACTTGGAAAACCCGACACCTGGGTCGGTGCTTGCGAACTAAATGAATTTCCAAAACCGCGGACCGGGGAACGTACCGGGAGTATGGTTTCCCGCTCTTGCACTTAAGGACCGTTTCCTTGGAATTTCATCCAAACATAAGTCAAGTACGACCACATGGGTGGAATGGGACACCCCTGGCTGAGTAACTAGCTTATCAGGGGAGCCTTGATGCCGAGAGACATGTGGATTCGCCGGGGTGGTGTCGGGGAGGACCCCTGGGCTTCCTGGCACAGTATGGTCTGGGACCTAACCTGTTGTTGGTCTGGGACCCCTCTCGTCGGCATATGGTAAACCTGTGTCAGCTTTGGAAATGCCTTGTCATGAAAGCTTGGAGGTCTCCCGACGTGGCTGATCTCCATGGGCTGGGTGATCCGGGTTAGTAATGTCGTGTGGGTAAAGTGTACCCCCTCTGCAGAGGTTAACAAACTGTTCGAACAGCCGTGCCCACGGTCATGGGCGGATGTGAGGTGATTCCTAGCGTAGTTTTGTTTGACTACTGCTTGTGAAATTGCTGTTGTGGAAAGGGGTTCGATGTTTGAAAAATCAGCAGCTGACGGGATCAGCTAGGCCCGGGTGGCCGTTTGAAAAGTTGTTGGCCCGGGTGGCCGTTTGAAAAGCTATTAGCCGGGTGCCAACCTTGATTCAATTCTAAAGACTGATACATTGCACATACTCCGACCGGACGAGACGCACTGTCTCATCCGCGTCGTTTGAGAAGCACTCACTTAGTTGTTTTTAGAAAAGGGTCCAAATAAAAATCAATTGCAAAAACAACAGCCTTTCCTTGAAGCCTGCATTAAACACCTATTTCCCATGGCTTGCTGAGTACTCCCGTACTCACCCTTGCTCTATATAAATAATCCCCCCCAGTTGCTGAAGAAGATGAAGCGGAACCGGCTGATGAGGAGTTCTTCTAGGAGCAAGCCGGCTACGATGAGTTTTAGGGTTTCGGCCTAGTTCCCAAGTCGCGCCTGTGTTGTTTGGTCCAAGTCCTGGCTTCCGTTTCCCTTTTGTAATGCAGTTGTGAGCTCGGGATCTGTCCGCAGCCCAACATGACTGTACCTCTACTCTATAATAAAGATACCTCTGTTGCTGTAATATTCTGTCTCCCTGTGATACCAGCACTGTTTCCTGGGACTGGTATCGAATAACAGGTTAATTTGGAGCGTCACGGGCTAGTTCCGGTCGGGTCTAGTTCGGGCCGTGACACACCGCTACTATTGTCAAATAGCAACCAAGTGAGTCCATGCTCATTTCAAATTTAGTATATTTAATTAATGTCTCCCACCTCTAATAATATAGAATTTCTCTAAGAAAAATTGCAATCTTTTGTCTCAAATGGTAAATGGTTACCTTATTGGTGTTTGTTCAATAGTTTACATAGATTGGAAACTGCTTGCTCCCACCAAACAACACTTGAACAGAACAAACTGTAATAAACCGGAAGCAGCTGGGCAATGAGGATGAATCAAAGAATAACTCCTGTAGTCCACATTATTCTGCAAAGAAAAATAAGGGTAACATTAATTTTATTTCATGTAGGGAATTTTAAATAAATAGTTCACCCCTGTTGAAGGAAATACCGCAAATACACATTCCAGAGACATATTGTACATCAAACTCCTTCGGCATATGAGAAACATGTAATTCACCCGCACTCATGTATCCAAGGCATTTTCATGCATCAGATCTGTATGGGTGGTTTACGTTCATTAAGAGTCATAAAGAGACACCAAAATTTATTATGTAAAATTTGTTACCTTAGGCCCTGTTTAGATGGGACTAAAACTTTTAAGTCCCTATCATATCGGATGTTTGAAAATTAATTATAAATATTAAATGTAGACTATTAATAAAACTCATCCATAATCTTGGACTAATTTGCGAGACGAATCTAATGAGCCTAATTAATCCATGATTAGCCTATGTGATGCTACAGTAAACATTCTCTAATTATAGATTAATTAGGCTTAAAAAATTTGTCTCGTGAATTAGCTTTTATTTATGTAATTAGTTTTGTAAGTAGTCTATATTTAATAGTCTAAATTAGTGTCTAAAGACAGGGACTTAAGTTAAGTCCCTGGATGTAAACACCACCTTACTACCTTCCAATATCTTTCAATAACATTTTGAGGAATTACATTAAAAATAATTCATCAAGTTCTATCATGGAATAAATGGCCCATGCATTTGATAGGATTTGCTTTTCATTTTGGAGCTACCCATTTCGCTTGATCAGCACAACCTATTGTGGCCGAGGCCGATGTGCTGTGGTTATCATCATTTTCCCTTATGCACACTCAGTCAGTCACCGATACAGGTAAGCAATTGTGCCATTCTAGAGAATATTCAACGGTTGCGGCACTAGTGCTGAGGTACTCTTTCAAGATGCTAACGGATTGGTCTCTTTTTTTTACCGGAAAAGGCGAGGGAGACCCCACAATATTTGTTTTCTTTTATTTAAGCCTGAAATTCATTATTGACAATAATTATCATTCATGCAACGGACTACATATTATTTAAACTGAGTATAATGGAAACATCATTCTAGATGATAACACATTGGTCTTTTTCTTTTTATTGGAAACAGCGAGGGAAACCCCATAATATTTTTTTTCTTTTATTTAAGATTGGAATTCGCTCCCTTGGAGAGTTGGAGGTGCTACTTGAGCACCGTAACTAATGCCTAGAGTACAACCCCTTTCGCATATACACTTGGTCTTATTGGTAGCTCTCTACTCTCTCAATGCCTTCTCTCTTACCTTTTTTTCATTCTCCCAATATTTGGTTTGCTAATGTTTATTAATCGATATGGTTGTTCCAATCCACTTAGGTTTAAGAACCAAACTAATGGCTCTTTATTTGATCAAGGTTGTATCATACTTGTCGGAGCCCGAGCTCCTCTGGCGGGGAGGAAAGGCACTCCTTTGTGATTCGGACAAAGTGCTAGTGTGTGGATCTGAGGTTAGGAACGCGAGAATCAAACAAGAGTCCAGGGGTTTATACAGGCTCTAGCCGCTCGGAAGAGTAATACCCTACTCCTGTGGGTTTGACTAGATCCATTACTGCAATGTTTACAAAAGAGTTTGGGAATCAATCAAGAGTCGAGGGGCTTATACAGGTTTGGGCCACTCAGAACCGTAACACCCTACTCCTATGTGTTTGTCTAGATCCCTTGTTGCAATGTTTATAAAGAATTGGGTTTATCTATTCTAGAGATGATGAGAGTTTCTGAACTTAGTAGATTTTCAGAATGTGATCCCCGTTTACAATGGCTTTAGCCCTCCCCTTATAGTCTGGGGGGAATACATAGTTGCCATCAGGGGCGGAGCCAGGTGTGGGGCAGCTTGGGCTTGGGCCCCACACCTGGCAAAAAAAATACCAAGGAATTTACTAATTTTCCTATTAAAATTCGTTCAAGAAGTTCATACTCTAATGATTAGGCCCTACTCTTCACATAATCCTAACTCCGCCTCTGGTTGCCATCCCTCTTGTAGGAGGGGGCATACAAACAGGAATTAGGTATGGTTAATCCCATTGCATGCTGACCGCCGGTGGGGCCTTTACAGGACTTTACTGGGCCCACTGGAGGAGCTGACGGGGTTGAGCGTAGCTGGATGTCGTTCCACTGTCTTCTACGCAGACACGTGTCTCGTGGTTAGTGACAAGGCGGGGGAAGATGTCTACAGGGCCCACTCATTAGTGTTACGCTCCGAGCAACTGGAGATTATTCCCACCTCTTCGCGACAATATTAGATTCCTTGGACAAAGTTAAGACGTGTGTATGGACACAGTACGGTACTCTGACTTTTACCCATTCGCATTGTGACCTCCTAGTAAGACCAGTCATCTAGGATATGGCTCGGTGAGTGTAACATCATTTACAGAAACGCTAGCAAAACCATAGCGGTCATACACATAGCTGCGTTGCCCACATGATGTAGAAGAGGAAGCCGATTCTGTCCCAAAGAAGAATGCAGGTTGTGCTGGTGGCTGAAGCTCCATGTTTTCCCTGGTTAACATGAAAATGACAGATGATATATGAGGCCTCTCACCAGGGTCCGGCTGGACACACAATAGCCCAATGTGGATGCATCGCATGGCTTGGCTTCGAGAGTACCCATCAAGCGATTGGTCAATGAATTGTGAAATTGTCCCTTTTGTCCAGCTATTCCAGACCTATTAGACACGTTGATGTTAGTTTGTTATATGAAATAGACCGATTACCGGTCTGAAACTTAAACATTGTATACAAATGCATACCGGAGAAAGGTCAGTATTGTTAAGCACTTACATCAGTCAGGAGATTCACATTATCATGATCACCAGAATCGGAGTTCCTTCTCCTCATCACAATTTCAAGGACCAACACACCAAAGCTAAAAATGTCTATCTTGGTTGACACATTTCCGTCTGCTACGTACTCGGGTGCCATATAACCGCTGCAAAAAAAATATATATAACCATTAGGCTTGGAAACATAGATATATCAATATTTACCATCAATGAAGGCTTTATAATGCACGAGCTTACAATGTTCCAACAACTCTGGTTGTCCTAGAATGAGTATGACCTTCTCCTAGCAGCCTTGCCAATCCAAAATCTGCAATTTTTGGTTCCATGTCCTCACCAAGTAGAATGTTATTTGATTTCAGATCACGGTGAATGATCCTCAAGCTTGAATCCTCGTGAAGATACAGTATACCCTTAGCAATTCCAAGAATGATGTTGTACTGTTGCTCCCAATTGAGTGAATTTCCTTTGGTGGTATCTATAAGGACAAAATAGCGCAACTTAATCATAATCGCGCATCTATAGTAGAGTTAAGGAAGTGGATGCACATCTTGTTCTTAGCTTTTTAACTTGTTTGCCAGAAATGGTACAGTACAGTACAGTACATATTCAGTACTTCACACTAATTTGAAGATGTGCATTGCTCAATTTATTCTATTTTTTGTTTTACATACTTGGCATGAAGTAAAATTACCAAATACTAGAATGTTTCCCAAGACAATTACCGAACAGAATGTTTCTGAAAAATTCTATTCAAAAATCAGAGTTATCGGTGTGTTTCTGAAGCGTTGATTGGGAAGGAAAATTACCGAATAGAATGTTGTCCAGGCTCCCGTTCTTGATGTATTCGTAAACCAGCAGTGTCTGCTCTTGATGCAAGCAAAATCCCTGTAGCCTAACAAGGTTCTTGTGCTGAAGCTCTGCCAATAGCAGGACCTCGTTATGTAGTTGATCCAATCCATGCCCAGTTGTTCCTAAAAGTTTCTTCACTGCAACTTCTTGTCCATCTGAGAGTACTCCCTGAACACATTGATTTTCAGACAAATACTCTACAGATTACTAGTTCACAGTACATTTCAAACTGTTGTCTTGTAATTTTACAAGCTAACTTACCTTGTATACAGTACCAAAACCACCCTCACCAAGCTTATTGTTCTCCGAGAAGTTCTCGGTCGCCTCTTGCAGTGTAGGCAGATCAAAAATCATGCACTGTGCTCTCGTTATCTTCTTTAAAGCTGTTGACATTTGACAAGATCATATCAGGTAACAGCAAATTTCAGCTACTGAACAGAGACTATATGCTAATGCTACTCACGGTGGTCAGTCTCGGCAGCCTTGGTCCTTCTCCTGAAACGAACGAACACAAGAACTGAAAGGATCAAGAGTACCCCAACTGAACAAGCGAGGCCTGCAGCGAGTCCTGCTACGCTCTTTTTCTTCCCTGCAGAAACCAAATCATGAACTTCAATGAATTAGGACAAATAATTTTCATGGAAAAACAAGAAGGGCCTGTTTGGCTGTGTCAGCTCCACCTAAAATAGGAGGGGAGCTGGGTGGAATGTTCTCACAAAGTAAAATAGAGAGGTAAAACTAAGTTTAGACCGCTCCACAACTCTACTCTAAACCTAACTTCTAAAGCTAAATTTAGAAGTTGGAACTCTAAAAAAAAAAAAAACCCGAAGTATAAAGTCGAACCTGCTCCAGGCTCATGAGTACCAACCGGAGTATCGACCGCCGGCGGCAGCGGCGGCGAGAGCTGCAGCATCGCCCGGCCACCGAAGAACGGCCGAACGCTATACATCAGACTGCACCACACCGAATAAGTACTAGCCCACGGAAGGCTGTTGCCCATGTAGTGGATTTTCGCCTGATCGTGGAGCGTCCTAACGCATTCCTTGCACTGCTCCGGCGACAAGTCCGGCACGCACTGCACGAATCCGTAGATCTTGGGGTTGAATTCCTCCTCACCCGTGGAGAAATACTTCTTGGCGGTCGCGTTGCTCGTCGTCGTGGCCCAAGTGTGCTCGACCAGGGCGGCGAGGATCTTCGCGACGGCGGCGTTGAACCAGCCAACGTCCGGCACCTTGATGCTGTCCGTGGCATGGTCGGGATACCAACTGTTTGTAACGAGCTAGTAGTGATTAGTTTCTCTGATTAGTGATTAATTCTACCAATGATAATATGCTTGGAAGAAACAATGGTGGGAATGGGATATAGATGGTGTCCGTACAGTATCTCTGAGACCTGCCATTGCTCGGTGCTGAGGAAATTCATGAAGCTCTGGCCGGAGTAGCGGAGCACGCAGCCGTCCCCGGGCCCGGAGACGGTGGCGCCCTTGATCCCGGGGCAGCTCCGCTTCCCGTCGGCGAACGCCGCCGCGACGCACGCGCCGCAGGCCGAGGCGTTCACGTCGCCGCGGCAGAGCGCGAGCGCGTAGACCAGGTCGGGCGCCGCGCCGACGGTGGCGACCGCGTAGCCGCCGGTGGCGCGCGCCGCGGAGACGTTGGCGGGGAGCTCCGCGCCGAGGCGGTCCAGGTTCGCCTCGAACGTGCTGTTGGCAGCGTACGTCGCGACGCCCATGTCGCAGATGTTCGAGGGCGCGGCACGCACGGCCGAGGGCAGCGTGAGGACGACGGCGGCGGCGACGGCGAGGACGCCATAGCCGGCGGCGAGCATCGTGGCAGAAGATGCGGGTAGTGATTCTTTCCCTCAACTAACGGCATTATTTACGCCCAAAAAAATAAAAAATGGCCTCATGTGAGCAGCCTTGCGCCATCAACTGTCAACTCTGTGCGAATTGCAACACATCGCTTGTCAAATGGCAGATTCCGTCAGGTTTGAGCTCGAAATTGGAGTCAAACATGACTGGCCGGCTGCACAGTTTACTTAGTAGTACTGAAATCTTGTCCACCATACTGCAAATCACACTACGGCTATGTTGTTTGTTCTGTCTTCCAACCTCTGCTCTCTCATTTTAGCGCACCCATTTCCTGAACCACCAAACGGTATGTCTTCTACTCTCTCCTCCGTTTCACAATCTGAGACATTCTAACATTTATATCTAAATCCATTAACATCAATAATTTCAATAAAAAATATTTATGTGGAAAATAAAAAGTGCTAGAATGACTTACATTATGAAACGGAGAAAGTAGAAAATAATTTCAATAGAAAATTTGCTTTCAAAAATTATATTAACTATTTTTTAAAGTTTTCTAAACTAATACTTAACTAATTGTACGTTAATTCACTGTCCCGTTTCACGTGTTTGAAAGATTAGTTCCAACCTAATGTAAGGAACACTGCCTACGTATGTTTTTTTACCCTGGCGTACTCGCGTAGTGGCGAAAAGGAAAGCAATAATTTGCAAAGCCATTTGGGGCACGTCCTTGTCATTAACGAGTCACAGGATAAGCAACACCCGTGTGGCAGGTCAGCACGCATGCATGCATATGACCTTGCCAAATCATAATTAATGGTTACCTTTCCTGCAGCCGCCGGTACTGACCACGACACATTATTGAAAAAACACAGAAGAAAGCAAGTGAGCTAAAAGATGGGCAAATTAATAAATTAATTAATAGATTGATGACAACAAACTGGGAGCGCATCCAGTTTTACGGAGAAACCCCTCATCAAAGCTGGGCATAGACAAAATATGCTAAAAGGAATTAGCAATCAAGTCCTTTATCTACTTCATCCACTAGACAGCCGATGCGACTACATCGACGGCGGTGGAGACGACAAATTCATGGCAACCTATTGAAGGTAGAGCCAAGGAGAAAACCCGAACGAGGTCTCCACTGAATGGAAGTTGAGGCATCCATGGTAAATCGGACAGAACACAGCGAAGGAAGAAACTTAGACCCTATTTGGATGGGACTAAAACTTTTAAGTCCCTATCACATTAGATGTTTGAAAATTAATTATAAATATTAAACGTAGACTATTAATAAAACATATCTATAATCTTGGACTAATTCGCGAGACGAATCTATTGAGCCTAATTAATCCATGATTAGACTATGTGATGCTACAGTAAACATTCTCTAATTATGGATTAATTAGGCTTAAAAAATTTGTCTCGCAAATTAGCTTTCATTTATATAATTAGTTTTGTAAGTAGTCTATATTTATTACTCTAAATTAGTGTTTAAATATAGAGACTAAAGTTAAGTCCCTAGATCTAAACACCACCTTAGAATCGGACACCCGATGATTTGGGAAAATCACCCGATGATTTGGGGAAATCAGGCGCTGACATCAGCACGACGCATACGTGTAAAAACACTTTAAACTATTTATTCTCTTAAATTATTTATCCAAATCATGATCCGATTGCATCATTAGATTCGTTGCAGTTAAATCTTCAAAACAAGACCACACATAGATATATTCCAACAAAAAAAACATTTAGCTTATTATTGAATTATTTTTAAATGTTGCACGATGTTCCACTAGGTATATCGGAATTGTTTCACTAAGTAGATCGGAAATGTTTCAATCGTTTAAATCGGGTGTTGTTTCACCTTATATAAAAACAATGTTTCAGCAAATAGCAAAAGAATGTTTCAATTCACTGCAACATTTGATCCATACATAGTGAAACATTATAAATACACTAAGTGAAACATTTTTGGTAGACCAAAAAATGAAACGAATTCCCTTCATAGAGGGTTTCCAAAATATGTGAGTGATTTGTTGCAAAAGAATGTTTCAATTCATTGCAACATTAGATCTATGTACATTGTGAGTACACTAGGTGAAACATTTTTTGTGAAACAAAAAATGAAACGAATTCCCTTAATAGAGAGTTTCCAAAATATGTGGGTGATTTGTTGCAAAAGAATGTTTTAATTCACAGCAACATTAGATCTATACATAGTGAAATATTGTGAGTAAACAAGGTGAAATATTTTTGGTGCAGACACGTGACAGGTGGGGTCAGAGACCGTGGTAGGGCCCAGGCGTCACGTATCACGCGCATGTGGGGGAGGGGAGCGTCCGATTTTTGCTCCCCCCCGACGGTTGACCTATCGCTGGCATTCTCCCACAACTTCTCCTATTGTTGAAGGTTCACAACGATGGACTAAAACCTTGCAAAATTTACTTGCTAGAGATAAGGATGGCAACAAGCGATATCCAGTTTCAAGTTAAAGTACACGGTCAAAGTGTCCCCGCGTCTCTCTCGTGCGGGCGGCTCGGGGGCAAAACCCTAGCCGCCACGCCGCCACACCCTCATTCCCCTCCTCCACCTCACTGCTGCCGGAGCTGGCCGGCGGCGAGCCAGGAAGGCGGCGGCGAGGCCCAAACAGCTCGGAAGAACTGACCCCAGCGCGAGGAGGACGGAGAAGGCCGACGATGGCACGGCCGGAGGTGGAGACTGCAGTTCAGCTTGGGGCGGTGGATCCGGTGCCTCTGTGGCCGGATCTGGCCTCCCGGCCAACCAGCACATTCGACCGGCGCGGTGGGCGGCGCGACGGAGGTGAATCGGGCGGTGAAAGGTGCGATGCGTGTGCCCCGGTCGGCGTGGGTTGGGGCCGCTGCGGCGACGGCGCCGGCTCCTGCTCTGCCTCGTGCCCCCGCCCGGCGGTGCTTGGGATGGCACGTAGGAGGAAGGCGAGGCCGGCGGCCAGTGCGAGGTGGTGTTGGCCGCACACGCAGCCATGGCCCGATGGCAGGCGGCGTGAGGCGGTGGAGGTGCTGCACGAGGAGGAAGCCAGTGGTGGTGACCGGGTTGTCAGCGGTGGTGGCTGGCCGCCAATGGTGACCTCAGTGGCTTACGGCAGCACGCAGGAAGCGGTTAGGCAGTGAAGAATTTGTCCTCTCTATTGCCAGCTTGACCTGCGGGGTGGTAGACTGAGCTTGGGCGTTGAAGGGATGGCGTGGTGGTCCGGTGATTGTCGTTGTGCAGGATGGTTGTGTGGGGTTTTGATAGGGGATCACTGGCGAAAGCCTTGCCATGGCCATGGGCTGGCATGACGACGGTGACGCCATTTGGCGCCGTTCCCCTCCTTGGAGGCGTCGTCCTGGCATTGACCCCTCATAACACCAAGAACCCTCTGCGCACAACGGTAGCTTTTGGTGGACTCCTGCAATGTCTCCGAAGCTCTTCCAGCCTAGGGTGTTTGACGAGGCCTTCACTACCTTGGCTTCGTTCCTTGCTACATTGGGTGTTCATCACTCTTATCTGGTTACTGTTGTGGGTAGAGTCGGAGCTGCTTTGCTGGGGCGACAAAGCTTGGCAACGATGACACATTGCAATTTCTTTATTGGATTGTTGATGCTAGCTGTGTGTAGGAGTGGTTCCTTGGTAGCTTGGGATGATGTCCTTCGTGGATGTCGTTTCTGTTTGTTTATTTTGCCGTTGGGGTAGCATCGCAATGAAGTTGAAGCTGTTGTGTCGCTTGGGTGGCAAGCTTGGCAACGATAACATGTGTAGGCTGCAGTGTCATCTCAAATGGCAAGCTTGTTTGATGCCGTGTGTCGAACTCTGTCATGGTAACTTAGGATAGGTTAGCTGTTGGTGTGGTGTTGTAGTTGTGGTTTTCGCTCAATTTTCCCTAATTAACTGAGCACTGTAAGAGCACTGTAAGGTTTGATCATGTTTTCTCCTTAAAATAGGATATCTTCTTAATATAAAACGTTGGCAACGGCCTGACCGTTCGAAAAAAAGAATGGCAACAGGCGCAACCTAACTAATCTTACAACTTTACTCACCGGAGATGTAGATGACGATCGGCACGACCTCCTCACAAGTGGATCTGGAGTACTCCTTAGTCACCAGCATGAAAGACGAAGCCACTGGAAGCTAACACCGGAAGAAGCTCCAATCACATCTTCCATGGAGCCAGGATAAGGAGATAATGCCCACAACCCGCTTGCGCAAAACCAAAAGAAACCAATGGGCTTGACTTTCTATAAGAACTCAACTACACACTAGCAAAATGTATGTAGTATTGTCTTAAAAAATATCCAAGTGTAGGTGTAGTGTAAACTTGTATAACATAGAAGATTGCAAGTTTAATATGAATAAGCTCAAAGTTTTTGCTTGCTTCAATTTAAACTTCTGGAATTAATTTACCGTCTGTTGTGGGCCAACTATAAATGTGTGACGAGAACACGGAAGTTTTACCCGCTGCATTCCAAAATTTAGAGTCAATCGTCTCAATTTTAGATGAAGATTTAGCAATAGACTTAAACTTTGAATAAGTTAATTATTTCCTTTTATTGGTGTCGTTATGTCATATGCTCATCATCATTTTTCTTTCATTATGTCGTACTTGGTTTTTTTAGCCAATAACTTATGTAATAAGTAGATGTAGTTTCAGTTAAAGCGAAAAGACACAATTTCGTTTATCATTTCGCCATCAGTTGAAAAAGATCTAAAGTTTACTCTCATATTGATCGTAATTTGACACAATTTCATTATCGCTTGATCTTTTCATGATCACTCCGATGAAGATCTGGCAGCCATTTCTAAATTGCCGCTACACATGGGTACGGTAGCACAGTGTAGCACAATCTTCTCTCGTAGGATTCTGCACTGGCCTCTTCAGGCCTCTGGCTCTACCGCTCTGATAATAAGCAACACTGGACTACCGTCTCTACGACTGCTCCTCCAATGACACGATTGACATGCCGCCGGACGCGACGCCGGATTCGTCGCCGCCGCCTTTCCTGGCGAAGAGCGTCGGCTTCGCGGGGGCATGGAGTTCGACGGTGTCCGTGCCGAGCATCAGCACCACCGACGACATCACCGGCCGGTTCGCCGGGTCACCCTGCACGCAGAGGAGCCCAATGTGGATGCATCTCATCACGTCGCTCTCCGAGAAGAAGCTGTTCATGCTCGGATCGACCATCTCCAGCACCGTCCCGGCCACCCATTGCTCCCAGATCTGCACCATTTTTGCAGTAAAACCCATGAGTCAAAATGCAACTCGATGTGCTTCTCTCGAGAAGGATCAAGGATGATGGTGATAAGATATTCAGATAACTCACCATGGTCAAGAGATCTTCAGATTGTTGGGAGTTGTAGCTGTGGTTGTTCTTCCTACCTGTCACGATTTCAAGGACCATGACGCCGAAGCTGAATACGTCTGACTTGACAGAGTAGTTCCCACGTGTCAGGTACTCAGGAGCCATGTATCCACTGGAACAGCACGGTAATTTTACAGTCAGCAAATTGCTACTAGATGATAGCTAGAAATATGAATTATATTATATGTGCTAGTTTAGATAGACTTACTATGTGCCGATGACATTCTTGGTGACAGCCTGGGTCTGATCTCGACCGAAAATTCTCGCGAGGCCAAAGTCTGAAATCTTGGGGTTCATATTCACGTCTAGCAAGATGTTGCTCGCCTTGAGATCGCGGTGGACTACCTTGAGCTGAGAATCTTCGTGGAGGTATTGCAGACCTCTAGCGATCCCGTTTATGATCTTGTACCTCTTCTCCCAGTCCAGCTGCTCACTTTTCTCAGTATCTGACATTGATCACACAGAAAAGATCAGGTTAATGGATGGTACCAATCTTTGCATAAGAAACAGAGGAAAACTGAGGTTAAACATGGCTTAGTTTGTACCGAAAAGGATCAGGTCGAGGCTCCGGTTTGGAACAAACTCGTATACGAGCAGCCGCTCCTGTTGCTCCAAGCAGACGCCGACGAGGCTGACAAGGTTCTTGTGCTTCAGCTTCGCAACCAGAGCCAGCTCGTTCTTCAGTTCTTCCACCCCTTGCGTTGAGCTCTTCGACAGTCTCTTCACTGCTATCTCGTAGCCGTCCGGGAGCACACCCTATGAACATGAAACAAAACAGTAAGCTTAATAATGAGAGAATTTGATAGTGATTCACTGACATATATGCATTTTTTTTCATACCTTGTACACAGCACCAAATCCGCCCTCACCGAGCTTGTTACTCTCTGCAAAATCACCAGTTGCAGATCGCAAAATGGAGATGTCGATGAGCATCGAATCTAAATTCTCAATGTCCTCTGCTTCAGTGGAGTAATTGGCATCTACCAAAGACAAAAAAAAAAATGGATAAGCTATTGTTCATCTAAGGTCGCTTGAAGTGTATAGTAAACTGGAGAATTTTGCAGAACATACATGTTCGCTTTGCTTCTGTTACTGGTCGCCTCCTCCTCCTCCAGAAACAGAGGCCAACCACAACGTTTATTGCTGCTATTGTAGGCAGCAGAATTATAAGAACCAATCCAGGGACGCTGTACTTCCTCCCTGGATTATTTTTTTTTAGAAGTAAAATGTCAGGCTAAGTAGTGTCACAAAATTATATTTAGGCAATGTTTGTTTCAGCTTAAGATTATTATAATTTGAATTATTAAACAGATAACTTATTATGATAGATTATTACAATCTATAATCTAGTAATCTACTTTAAAGGTGCTTTTTTTAGATTATTAGATGGCTACCACCTAACAACCAGCTAATAATCCAGAGAAATAAACAGCTATCAACTTATTCTATGTCTGCTTATTATAATCCAGCTTATAATATCTGACTCAATAATTTAGATTACAATAATCTTAAACTGAAACAAACAGGGCCTTAATCTAAATTTTTCAAGAAAAGTAACTCAATTATAATCTACTCTCTCCGTTTAATTTTATAAGTTATTTTGATTTTTTCTATTGAAATTTTTAAAGTTTGATTAAGTTTATACGGAAAAAATAATAATATTTTTAACACAAAACAAACATATCATCAAAATATATTCATGTTAGATTTAATCAAACTAATTTAGAGTTGTAGACATTACTAAGTTTTTCTAGAAAAAAAGTGAAAGCAACTTGTAATATAAAATGGAGTAAGTACCATTTAAGGCCAAGGCGCTTTGACTCACCTCCTTCAAGCGTCGGCGTCGCCGCCGGCGGCGTCTGGTTAACTGCGGGCACCACGGCCGCCGGCGACGGCGCCGGCGAGGCACCTGACGTTCCTTGTAACCTTACAAGCATCGGTCCGTCGAGAAAGGGCGTGGTACTGTACTGGAAGCTGCACCAGACCGCGCGGACGAATCCTCCGACCCTGTTCTCAAAAAACCCAATATATGTCCCTATGATCTGCGCGAGGCAACTCCGGCAGCTCGCCGGCGTCAGGTCCGGAGTGCACTGCGCCCAGCTGTACACCTTGGGGAACTCCGCGTTGAAGTCGGCCTCCCCGGACGCGTACCGCCGCCGCGTGGAGTTGCGCGCCGCGTAGTCGGCGGTGGCGTTCACCAGCGCTGCCACGAGGCGGTTGAACCGTGCCTGCTCCGTCGTGGCGTTCGCGTTGCTGTAGAACCCGTAAATCGGGATCTTCTCGGAGGAGAAGTCGCCGGCGGCGATGGTGGCGTTGGAGTAGGCGAGCAGGCAGGAGTCGTAGAAGATGGCGGCGACCTTGTGGTAGGCGCAGGCGTTGGGGAGGTCGAGGAAGGCCTGGGTGAGGCAGGCGAGGCAGGTGGAGGCGTTGGCGTCGCCGCGGCAGAGCGCGAGGGCGGAGACCTGGTCCGGCGGCGCGCCGACGCCCTCGGCGGTGGCGAACAGGTCCGGCGAGGCCGAGGCGTTGCCGGGGAGGGTGGCGGCGATGAGGTTGATACTGGCAAGGTAGCTGCTCCTCCTCGCCGGGAATTCGCCGGCCGTGTCGTTGCACAACCCCCACGGGTACGACACCGCGGCGCGGGGGAGCGCGAGCAGCAGCAGCGCGACGGCGGCGGCGACTGGCACGGACAGGGCGACACGGCTAGCCGCCATCGTGACTGCACGGTGGAACGGATGAACGGGTGGTCTGTACACTTGTACTTGTATCGAGCTCGGTTTTGTTAATGAGAGTAAACTTTTGGTCGTCCGACCATTCAAGTCGTTGGCTGTTTCTCGCAGCTAAGATTGTTGTTTACTCACTATTCGGTGCTTATTGGAGTCGACGGCCGTAGACGTACCACTGACTTCACGGATTAGACCGTTTACCGCTTTGCTCCTCTGTACACGAGAGAGAAGCAGAGCATAGGAGCAGCAACGCAGCCATACTGGAGCAAACGAACAGAGCGATCGCGTTTGCGGGAAAACGCAAGTGCGCGGGACGCCGGCCTCCATCAGATTGAACCGACGGGTTATGGATGCGGCTCGTCGAGCGCACAGGGGGTGACAGGGACGCGCGCGGGCCACGAGTGGACTCGTCGCGTGGCGGCGCGTGCGGGGAATGGGAATCACGGCCTCTAACGGCGGAGACTCGTACTATACGCCGCACGTCACGCGCAGCCGTGAAGGAAGAGGGAGAGAAACGAAGAAAGAAATTTGAAAATATACTTTATTTTTTCATATTTTGCATTTATATACCTGGCTGCGATTAATTTACAAAAATATACCCAATCCGCTGAACGGATGCGCGGGAGCGAGGACGAACCGCAGACTGGGGATGCGGGAGCGGAACCCGAGCCGGTCGCGCGGAACCGAGATGCGCGACCGAGCCGGTCCCGCACAACTGGCCTGCGGGACCGAGTCGGTACCGCGGAGCCGATGCACGGGAGCCATGGAGCCCATGGTAGGATGAGTGAACGCGGCGGTGCCGCAGAATGGCGGCGCGGGACCGACGCTGTCGCGCGGTTCCAACGCGCGGAACCGAACAGGTCGCGTGTTCTTAGAGATGTGTTCTTCCCCTAATTTTTCCAACTCATCCGCGCGCACGCTTTTCAAACTCCTAAACGGTGTATTTTTTATAAAAAGTTTCTATACGAAAGTTGTTTAAAAAAATCATATTAATTCATTTTTGAAAAAAAAAATAACTAATACTTAATTAATTATATGTTAATAGTCTGCTCCGTTTTTCGTGCAGAGGATATCGGATCCAATTCGGGAAACCGAGATGGGGGCGGCATGTGGGAGCGCCGGTCCCACACATCTGGCATGCGGGAGCGTTGCCGCGCTCACCACGCCCGCGGGACCGGCGTGGTACCGCATCCCCGGCCTGCGGGACCGGCTGCTCGTCCTCGCTCCCGCGCAACCGTTCCGTGGATTGGGTCTATTCTTGTAAATTAGTCACAGCCAGGTATATAAATGCAATATATGAAAAAATAAAGTATATTTTCAAATTTCTTTCGAGAAACGAAGGGGGTGGATTCAACGGGGTGATTATGCACAGGATCCACACATATGGCCTCCCCACGTACAACTGTACAGCCGCAAAAAGGGGATCGGGATGGTTTGGTTGACGGGTTGGACCGGTTTGTGCGTAAACCATGAAGGTATTCGCATTACGATGGCTAGCTTGGTGCTTGGAGATGGTGTGTTTTCCATTTGCACCGTTCAGTTGGCACCATCGGCCGCCGTACGTAGCCCGTAAGTGCGCACGCGCGCGCGGGGTGAGGTCTGAAAGGCGGCGACGACAAAACCATCAATCACATTAATTACTTTTTGAATTCCAGAGAAACTATCGCTGTGTTTAGTTACTAAAAAAAGTTAAAAGTTTGGGAAAAGTTGGAAGCTTTATGTGTGTTAGAAAGTTTTGGATGTGATGTGATGTAATGGAAAGTTGGAAGTTAGGGGTAGTTGGAGGAGAACTAAACACAGCCTATTATGAAATCGGATTCAGAGTCGTCAACAGAAACAATTCTACGGTTCTTGAAGAGGTACCATCAGGTATCAAAAATTTAGTGTAAAATTTAATATCTCATAGTACCTTTGATACCTCATAGTACCTAGGTACTAAGAGGTACCAAATTTACAATAGAAAAAGTGGTACTTCATGGTACCTTCTCAAAGACCGTAAAATTGCTCGTTCAATAAAGGTTTATGTCTAGGAGAAAAGGGTCGGGGGAGATCATCGGGTCTAGAGGAATGGCATTGGAAACGAGGAAATAGCCAAGCCAATCCTTTAGCCAAACTAAATATTGATTATTAAAATTTAAGCAAACTAATTTATTTGATTTTTTTTCAAAGCAACTTCTATAAAAGAAAGTTTTCGCAGCAGATGAAAAAATGCTAATGAAAATCGAGGAAATAGCTAAGCCAATCCTAGTTTAGAACATGCCTATTTAGGGGAGCTTCTGGCAACTGCAGCTTCTCGTAGAATCTCCAGCTGCTAGAAACTCCCTCAAACAGTTTATATTTTCACCCAGATTCTGAGAATCCGTAGTTGTAGAATTCAGAAAATAAAATAGAAGTCAGAAGCTATGTTTCCTAGCTTCTCTAGATATGTTTTCTTGCTTCTCCAGATTCTCACTAGCTAGCTTCTTACCAGCTGTTTCTTAAAATCTTAAACTCCCCAAGCAGACTTGGTCTGTCAACTTGATTTTCCATGCAGTACATGCATAAGAGGATGAGATGAAAGTATTCCCTCCATCTGGAAAATAAGTTACTAGATTAATTTCTATTAGAGATTTGCTTCGGTCCAGTAAAAAGTATCTTGAAGTATCGGTATCTCACGGTACCAAATCGTTAGATTGGACAGGATAGACATTGTCAGGGGAAACTATTCTAATCCCTCGAGGGGATGTTCCCTCGTTTGCTCAAAAACCATCTAAACGGTTATGAAAAATTCTGGAAAAATTTGACAACATTCATACAACACATATATAAAACTTCACAAAATCTTAAGACCAAACTCAACTCACACGTCGAGATATAAAAAAGACAAATTCAGCGTATGAATAGTAGCGTACTGTTTATATCTAAATTTGTCTTTTTTGTTTCTCGATTTGTAGATCGAATTTGAACATGAATTTTGGTGGACTAGTAGGTATCATTATACTCTACATTGTCAATTTTTTTCAGATTTTTTCACAACTATTTGCATCGAATTTGGAAGAAAAAGGTATACGAGGAGATCCATTGTTTATTGGACCGGAGCAGATATCTTTCTTTTAATATACTGGGAGTAGAGGATCATGTCTCAGTAGTCAAAGAGTGTGACAAGAACGTGCCGCTGGCGATACAAGCTGTTGCTTTATTCCACGCATTATGTTCGACTTAGAACACTGGCAAATGTTGAACGCTGGAAAAAAAAATCAAGAAATTGTGCATGCGGCAGCCATTTTTGACTCCAATTGCGCGCTCAAACTCAGCACAACGTGCCTAATGATGCGTCGCACCGAGTGGGCGAGCAGAGCAGATCCGTTGCCTGGCGCAAGTCCACATCTTTTGTGTGAGCATCTCCCCTCTCTGCTGCGGCGATGCACGTCGGCTATGGCATCGTCGCCGTTGTCCTCGTCCTCTTGCCGCCGTCGGCCACGCCGGCTGGGATCGCTGACTGCGACGAAGGAGTCGGCAACACGTACGTGGCCAACAGCACTTTCGAGGCGAACCTGAACGTCCTCGCCGCGGCGCTCTCCCCCAATGTCTCCGTGGCTCCGGCCGGCTTCGCTGTCGCCACCGTCGGCGCGGATCCCGACAAGGTCTTTGCGATGGCGCTATGCCGCGGCGACGTGAACGCCTCCGCTTGCAGCGCGTGCGTCGCGGCAGCGTTCGTCGACGGGAAGAAAGATTGTCCTGGAAACAGCGGCGTCGCCATGTACGAGGACGCTTGCGTAGCTCGCTTCTCCCGCTATAGGTTCATGGATTTCCTCAGTCCGGATCAGTGGCAGGTCTCACAGATGATGTACGCACAATCCATCCTTCCATTCTTTTCTCGCAAAAATCAGATAAACTAATAGCTCGTGACGAACAGTTGGTATCCCGAGCAAGCCTCGGCGAGCGTCGATGTGCCGGCGGTTGGCTGGTTCAACGCCGCCGTCACGAAGATCCTCGCCGCCATGGTCGACCACGCCGTGACCTCGACGACGGGGAACTCGACCACCAAGAAGTATTTCGTGACGGGTGAGGAGGAGTTCGACCCCAACATCTACGGGTTCGCGCAGTGCGTGCCGGACCTGACGCCCGCGCAGTGCAACGATTGCCTTAAGGACCTCCTCTTCTATGCAAAACAAGCGTACCTCGGCAAAAGCCTTAGCTGGGTTCGTGTCAATTCGGTGTGGTGCAGACTGATGTATAGTGTGCAGCCATTCTACCGAGGCCGGGCGATGCTGCAGGTCTCGGCGCCACCACCAACAGCCGAAGCTCCTGTTCTTTCTCCAGAGCCTGGGTCAGGTATGACCTGCTGTTCTTCATTTTTCCTACTTAACAATGAAATCAAGGTTTTGCAAATTGAAATCCATGTTTTGGTGTGTGCAGGGAAGAAAATTAGTACAGCAGGAATCGCTGCTGGCGTCGCTTCGTCGGTTGTGGTATTGTTGATACTTTCAGTTTTCGCATTTGTTCGCTTCAGGAGGAGGACCAAGGTTACAGACGCTGTCCACCGTGAGTAGCATATATAATCTCCGTTCAGTAGCTGAAAAATGTACTGTTCCCTCACATAATTCTTGTCATATGGCAACAGCATTGAAGAAAATAACGAGAGCACAATGCATGATTTTTGATCTTTCTGCACTGCAAGAGGCAACCGAGAATTTCTCGCCGAATAATAAGCTTGGCGAGGGTGGTTTTGGTGCTGTATACAAGGTAAGTTAGCACGCAAAAATACAAAGAGAAAATTTTCAAATGGATTGTGCATTACTTTCCAAAAGATGGATTATATTGCTTGCTCCCTGTGAAAAACAATATGTTCAGGGAGTGCTCTCAGATGGACAAGAAGTAGCAGTGAAGAAACTTTTAGGAACTGGTCATGGATTGGACCAGCTATACAATGAGATCAAGTTGTTGGCTGAGCTTCAGCACAAGAACCTTGTTAGGCTACAGGGATTTTGCTTGCATCAGGAGCAGACTCTGCTTGTTTACGAATACCTCAAGAACAGGAGCCTGGACAACTTTCTATTTGGTAATTTTGCCTTCTCATTCATCTGTTCACAAATGACAAACATATATACTCAATAAGTAAATATCCTCAGTATCACTAAATATGTTCTGTAGCATTTCCAGCAAACAAATCACATAACTAAGACCAGAATTTGCACTTTGCCACTTTCTGAATTCTATTGAATGTGGGTAATTATGATTAAGTTGAAGATTTGTCCCAATAGATCCCAGTAGAGGGAATGCCCTAAACTGGGATCAACAGTACAACATCATTCTGGGAATTGCCAAAGGAATATTGTATCTTCACGAGGATTCAAGCTTGAGGATCATTCACCGGGATCTAAAATCAAACAACATTCTAGTTGGAGATGATATGGAACCAAAGATTGCGGACTTTGGATTAGCAAGGCTGCTAGGCGAAGGTCATACTCATTCTAAGACAACTAGAGTTGTTGGAACATTGTAAGCTCATAAGTATAATAATACCTTCATTAATAGCACATATTAATTGGATGTACGTTTCCAAGTGTAATGCTTACCCTCTGCAGTGGTTATATGGCACCAGAGTACGCAATAGATGGAAATGTGTCAACCAAGATCGACATTTTTAGCTTTGGTGTGCTGGTCCTCGAAATTATCACGAGGAGAAGGAACTGGCATTCTGACGATCATGATCTCGTTAGTGATGTAAGTGCTTAATAACCTTAGCTCACACCAATATGGTTCTACTTTTAGTGTATTGTGAACACTGCTATATTGATGATTTTTACGTGAAAGTAATAATCTCTTAAGTTTGTCAACATGCCTAACAGGTTTGGAATTGCTGGACAAAAGGGACTGCTACAAAAATGATTTACCAGTCGCTCAATGGGTACTCTGAAAGCCAAGCATTACGATGCATCCACATTGGACTACTTTGTGTCCAGCCAGACCCCGATGACAGGCCACACATGTCATCTATTATTTTCATGTTGACCAAGGAAAATATGAAGCTTCAACCACCAGCAGAACCTGCATTCTTTTTGGGTAGAGAATCAGCTTCCTCTCCTCCATCCTGTGGGCAACACGGCTATAACTGTGATTGATCTGGTTTAGCTAAATCTAGTCATTAACATGTGATTCGCCCGGCAAATAGTTCTGAAAGAATTTTTAGTATAAACATTCATTTTTTTCTAGCTAGTTTGGATCATAAAAGTCATCATGGGATTTCAAATAAATTGTGAAGTGTAGTTTTTTGCTTGTTTTATTATTTATCATATACTTTTTTCTACTATAATTTTGTACTGAAAATTCGAATTATTTTTAGTCAACTGTAAAATAATTATATATATGTTGCCCTGGAATTCTCAAACGAATGTAAAACACGAGCTTTGAGCATATGTTTAAAATCCTTTCTTAAAACTGAATAAATGGAAGCAATCCATTTTTATCCTCTATGGACTTGTTCGATAGGGCTACAACAACTAAATGTAACTCTAAAAATTGATTCTGAAGTGGAGTTGTGAAACAGGATGAAGCCGGCTTCACCCGTCTAGTTCGTTTTGTAAAAGCGCTTCAGCTGACTCCACTCTTATTTTTGAATGGAGGTGAAACTGTTTGACTGGGCTTCAATTTCAGAAAAGTTAAAGTTAGAGTTAGAGCTATGCTAAACAGACTCCATATAGCTCCATATTGCTAATTTGCTAGTGGTAAGTTTGGAGCTTGATTTTTCTTTTCTTTTTCATGGCCATATGCCCATTCATGTCACGGTCTTGGATGACCACTGGTGAGCCGAATACCTTGACGAGTCCAATTAGCATGCCTGGCCACTTGGCCAGTCGCCTACAAACTTGCAAAGTTTGCAAATTTGTGGATAATTAATTCGCTACTGATGCGATGCAACATTGCCACTTGATTACAAGTTGCAATACTTGGATTATTGCGAATTGCATTGCACATTGGGCGTGATTATCGCTGCCATGCAAGTTGCAACTGGAAGCCTGTGAATCCCAAGGCCGGTGAAGTCATCGACTAGTCTTTGGTCTTTGGCTTTTGCGACTCCATCGCCTCCTTTTCCATAGCCGCCTGCGCACTACTGTCACTTCTTTCCGCTACGATGAATCGATGATAGAGGAGGTTGGTCAGTTGGTGGCCCGAATGAAGCGTGTTCACCTTGAAATTTGAATACGTTTTCCCTGATTTCAACAATTAATTGCTAATTTCAAACAAATTCAAAAGAGTGATTATACAGTTTTTATGAAAGTATCGGGAGACACTATGTTTTCTAAAAGATTTGCTCCGGTCTAACAGAAAGTATCTCGAGGTACCGATACCTCGTGATACCAAATCGTTTCTGATCGTTGGATCTAACAATATCCATCCTGTCCAGTTAGATCCAACGATCGGAAATAATTTGGTACAGTGAGGTACCGGCATCTCGAGATACTTTTTGTTGGACCGGAGCAAATCTCGTTTTCTAATATAAAATTTGGCGCGATAGCTAATTCGCGCTTGCGCGTTGGCGGCGCGCGTTTCAGGCCTATAAGGCCTAGCGCTGGCGCGTATGCGTGCGGACAGTGTCCACATCCGTATATTTTTCCCATAAAAAATCTAACGTCCGCTTTTTTTTTATTTTTTCCTTTTTCGTGATTTTTTAATTTTAGAAGTTGAAATCTTTCATCTTCAATTTTAGTTGAAAATTTTGAATTTGAGTTAAAAATTATTAAAGGTAAAAAATTGAGTTGAATTTTTTTTAATTTAGATATGAAAGTTTTCAAATTTGAGTTAAATGTTTTGAATTTTTAGACAAAAGGTTTTAAATTTGAATTGAAAATTTTCAAATCTTTAGTTAAAAGTTTTTAAATCCGAGTTGAAAGTTTTCAAATCTTGACTTGAATTTTTTCAAATCTAGATTTGAAAGTTTCAAAATCTAAGTTGTTTTTTTTGAAAAAAATAAATTGAAGGTGTTCAAATCTTGACTTGAATTTTTTCATTATCTGAGTTAAAAGTTTTTAAAAAATCTTGACTTGAAAGTTTTCAAATCTAAGTTGAAAGTTTTTAAATCTGAATTGAAAGTTTTCAAATCTGGGTCGAAATTTTTTTATCTGAATTGAAAGTTTTCAAATCTGGGTTGAAAGTTTCAAATCTGGTTAAAAGTTTTCCAAATCAGAGTTAAATAAAAAACTAATACTAACAATTATCAGTATCGCTAATTAATGACATCAACACTAATCAGCGTTGTTAGCGCTGAGGAGAGGCGAGATAGGGGGCATGCGCGGCTGCACCAGTTAGGCAGCTAGAACTCACGCGTCCATTCGGAAGACCCAAAATTTGGTATCTCTGGTACGACTAGATACTAAATTTGTACTTAAAAGTTTGGGTATCTCATGGCACCTCTTAAAAACTATAAAATTTGCTCAATTCAAAAACTTTGAGCAGAGATACTCCCTACGCTATATTCAAATTCACTGCTAAACCGGTATCTTGGTTGTACTAGTGTGTGCAAGGAGACATGGATTTTCTATATCTCGACTAGCTGGATGCAATCGTATCCATTGTTAAGCGACAAAGTTGGTTCAAGAATCAGGGACGACTTGTATGGTCGTCTCTGTCTCTCTGCCGTGTTGGACGGAGATTACTCACTACTATAGTCCATCCCCGTGGGAACGAACATGGATTGAGCTCCTCTTTGCGCACGCCGGAAATACCCCGATGGATCGCCGTCTCATCCTGTCCGTCGCCGTCGCCGTCGCGCTGCTCGCGCCCCGCGCTGCCGGCGAGCCATGGCCGGTGTGCGGGCAGGACTTCGGCACCTTCACGCCCAAGAGCAGGTTCTTCGCCAACCTCCAGCTCATCGCCGCCACGCTCCCCGGTAACGCCTCGTCGTCGCCGGACCTCTACGCCACCGCCGTGGACGTTGGCGCCGTCCCGGAGCAGGTCACCGCCGCCGCGCTCTGCCGCGGCGACGTCAGCGCCAGCTCCTGCCTCGGCTGCCTCACCCAGGCCTTCGCCGACCTGCCCAACGCGTGCGGCAACTCCAGGGAGGCCGCCACCTACTACGACCGGTGCATGGTCAGCTACTCCGCCATCAACTTCCTCTCCGGCGGCGCCGGCGGCGAAGACCCGGCGAGGATCGACGCGTACACGGTGAACAACGAGAACAAGGTCACGTCGGAGCAGGGGCGGTACAACCGCCTCGTGGCGGCGCTCGTCAACGCCACCGCCGACTACGCGGCGTACAACTCGACGCGGCGGTACGCGGCCGGCGAGGCCGACTTCGACGCGGCGCTCCCCAAGGTGTACAGCCTGGCGCAGTGCACGCCGGACCTGTCGCCGGCGAGGTGCCGGAGCTGCCTCGCCAAGATCGTGGCGCAGGAGCTTTGGTCGTACAAGGACGACATCGGAGGGAGGACCCTCTCCGTCAGGTGCAGCTTCCGGATCGAGACCAAGCCTTTCCTCAATGGCACGACGATGGTGCGGCTACCGGCGACATCGGCGCCGTCTCCGGCGCCGCCGGTCAACGCGACGCCTTCAGCGGCCACGCCGGGACGAGGTGAGTCGAAGTGTGTATTACTTTCGGGCGGCATTACTGACATTATTGCACAATTAGTCAACTACACGTTTATTATTTCCAAGAAAACCCGGCAAAAATTATTTCCAAGAAAAAGCTATATTTTAAGTCATTTAATTTTTTTCTGAGTACTTGTAGGTTGTAAGTCATTTCTATTATCTAAAATGATTATTTAGGTTTGATCACGTTTGTAGAAAAATTTAGCAACATTAACATTGAATATATTTTAGTAATATGTTTGTTCTATATTGAAAATATTAATATATTTTTTTTATATATTTTGTTAAATTTAAAGGAATTTGACTAAGAAAAAATTAAACGACTTGCAGCATGAAATAAGGGGAGTAGTACAGTACAGTAGTACGGAATCTGTCCATACAATTCGACATGTTTTAACATGATAACCTTGGAAATTTGTGAATTGGTCAATTCGCAGAGACAAAGTACAAGGTTCCGCGCCTGGTTCTTATAATACTGCTCCCTATAATAGCAGCCGTAAACCTTGTCGTTTGCTTCTGTGTCTGGAGGAGGAAGCGTCCAGTAATAACAAAAGCAAAGCAGACAAGTACGTCCTACAAAATTCTCCATTTTAATCATTTCAGCTGACAATGCAAAAAAAAAAAACTTATCCAATTGTTGTGATGCTGACGTTTATGCAGATGCCAACTATTACGCTGAAGCAGATGACGTTGACAGCGTAGACTCCATGCTCATGGACATTTCTACTCTGCGAGCTGCAACTGGGGATTTTGCAGAGAGCAACAAGCTTGGTGAAGGTGGATTTGGAGCGGTGTACAAGGTACTGAAAAAGGGAAAAAAAAAACAAGTCTCTGAATTACAAACCAAAACTAATTTAATTAGCATATTTTGAATCTTTTCACAGGGTGTTCTTCCAGACGGCAACGAAATCGCAGTGAAGAGGCTGTCAAAGAGCTCAACACAGGGAGTTCAAGAGCTGAAGAATGAGCTTGCTCTGGTCGCCAAGCTGAGGCACAAGAACCTCGTAAGCTTTGTAGGCGTCTGCCTGGATCAACACGAGAGGCTGCTTGTCTACGAGTTCGTTCCTAACCGGAGCCTTGACCTGATCCTCTTTGGTAACAATACTACTACTAATTGAGTCTACATTACCAATTCTCTCCTCTGTTTTCTCTGCAAAGATTGATGTCATATCATCGCATTGATCTATTAATTAACACCTTCTCTTTGATCATTGTCAGACACTGAGAAACGCGAGAAGCTTGACTGGGAAAAGAGGTACAGGATCATAAACGGCGTCGCTCGAGGCCTGCAATACCTCCACGAAGACTCTCAGCTCAAGGTAGTCCACCGTGATCTGAAGGCGAGCAACATCTTGCTAGACGCGAACATGAACCCCAAGATCTCAAACTTTGGCCTCGCGAGAATTTTCGGTCAAGATCAGACCCAGGCTGTCACGAACCGTGTCGTCGACACATAGTTAGTAACAACATAAACTGTAGTAGTTGTTCAGTCATCCAGTAATTAAGTAGTGACTAATCATGACTTCAAATTATCTTTGCTGTTGCAGTGGGTACATGGCACCTGAGTACATGATGCGTGGCAACTACTCCGTCAAGTCAGACGCGTTCAGCTTCGGCGTCATGGTGCTGGAGATCGTGACGGGAAGGAAGAACAACGACTTCTACAACAACTCTCACCAATCTGAAGATCTCCTGAACACGGTGAACATACAACATAGTAGTTCATATCTCTGAACATCTGATAACCTGCACTCTGCAGATTACAGTGCAGTTTGGCTGATCTATGTGTGATGCTGCACTACAAAAATGATGCAGATATGGGAGCGTTGGATGGCCGGAACCGTGGATGAGATGGTAGACCCGGCCATGAGCAGGTACGTCTCGGCGAGCGACGTGCGGAAGTGCGTCCACGTAGCGCTCCTGTGCGTGCAGGAAAACCCCGCGGATCGGCCGGTGATGTCGTCGGTGGTGATGATGCTCGACAGCGAGACGGTCTCCCTCCAGGTGCCCTCCAAGCCGGCGTTCTTCGCCAGGAACGGCGGCGCTAAACCCGGCGTCGCGTCCGACGAGTCGACCGCGTCAGTGTAGAACCTGTCATAGAGAGAGCTTCGATCGGTCCAGGATATGGAACTTCTTGCGCTGCTGATTAGTGGCTCCCACTCTGAAAGGAGGATTGTGCTACTGTACGGACAATGTAAGAATCATGAAAAGTTTGCACAATTTTTGTACAAGCCCACGTGCATTACATGGAGCATCGGAATGAAGGAATAAGTACATTTGAGGTTACTTAATTTGTCAATGAATTCGATTTTCATCCTTCAACCAAAAAACCAAATACAGCGGGTCTCTTAACTATTAAAACCGGTGTAATATAGGTCCCATGATGGTTTAGATGGCGATTTTAGTTGACGTGACGCCTACATGGCTAATTTGACTTAGTCTTCGTATGACATGGCATATATGAAGTGAAATTTAACAATTTTAAAGATAAAATAAAATATATGGGCCCACATGTCAGTCAAATAATACATACTAAAAATAGTGGGACCCACGTGTCAGTGGGCCCCAACTTCCTCCACCTCATCCCCTTTTCTCTATATCATCCCCTTCTCCTTCTCTATCTCAGCCTGGTTAGGTAGGGGGAGGGGGGAGGGTGGCTTCGAGGGCGCGGCTCTGGCAGCTATAGCCTATGGGTGACATGAGGGGGCATGGCTCCACTGGCTATGGGCGGAAGAGGAGGGGGCTGTTGGAACAGAACTCACAAGTGTGCAATAAGTGTCTGTCTAGCTTCTATCCCCCCTTCCGAGGGTAACATTTACATATTTATACTAGGTTGTATGTAAAGGAAATTACAACCCTACCCCTATCTCCGTAGCTACCCCGAGGTGGCTGAGAGGTGGGCCGACGAATGGTCCGAGGGTCCATTCACCAGGCCGAGAGTTGGCGGTGCCCATCAAGGGGAGCGGTATGGCGCTAGCATGATGCTAGCCTTTACTCGGGTAATAGCTAGCATCGGCCTTCACATCGCTAGTCGTGCCGTAACATCGGTGGTGGATGGGAGATGAGTAGTGCGCTTTTATGGCACCCCATACTCATTCCCGGTGTCCTCCCTAGGCTCCGGGCCCGGAGCCATGGCAAGAGCCCCGGAACACTTGAGCTGGCTCCTGGACCTCCGAGGCCCTTGAACCGGCTCTGGGGCTCCGGGGGCCTTGACTGGGCTCCGAGATCCCCGAGGCCCTTTGGTTGGCTCCGAACTTCTCGGAGCCGACTGCCCTCTTCAGGCTCGGTCAGCTTCCTAGGCGTTCGATCAGGGCCCTCCCTGTGGAGATGGGCTCCGCAGGGCGTTGGCGGCAGGCCCCTAGAGGCCCTACCTCCTCCGGAGCCAATAGGGGTTGAATGGTGCAAGGTCGCAATCCTTCCCCAATAGGGGCGCTGGGAAGTGGCATTGGCTGTAGCGGCGCTGGGGTTGGAGCACGGGTGGTTCCAAGGAATGCTGTCGGTGGTAGCAGTGGGGAGAATTTGAGGGAAGAGATAGAGAGGGTGGAAGAAGATCCGCGCCAGTCTCAAGCGTTGGGGAAGAGCGACGGTCGGCGGCATTGGGGAGGAGTGGCGGCCGGCGGAAAGGATCTGAGCGTCGGTGGAGGCATTCGGGGAAGCGTTCAACCTCGGCGAGCTTGTGGGCGTAGGAGCGGCCGAGAGCCACCGCCGTGTTCCTTCCCCGCCAGCCACAACCACGTTCACCGCACCAGTCCTTGTCCCAATTGGCAAGTCAAGCATCCACGACAACATATGTGGAGGAGGCTAGCGAGCGGCACACCGACGAGGCTGGTGGAGTAGTGGAGGACCGTGGCACCGGGCGCTCGTCCTTTCCCGGTGACGGAAATCAGATGACGATGGCGTTAGGGGCGGGGGGGAGACCAACGGGAGGTGCTAAGAGGATTGCGGGGAGGCCGAGGGGAGGCGGGAATCAGTGTGGGTGACGGCGGAGGAAGGTGGTGGTGGCGACGGGTGACCGTGGAGGTTGAGGAAGGCGAGGTCGGCTTCCGGGATACTGCCACCAACAAGCGCCGCTACCTCTACCTCTGCCGCCTTTCCATCACGCACCCACCATTGCTCGTCCCCCTTTGCGTGCGCTCACTAGCGGACCGTGACACCCGCGGGCTCAGCAGCGGTGGCCAGTGCGCGAAGAGGCCTGGCCGGTGACGCTCCTCCCTCCCCACCCCATCCCCTCTCACCGGCCTCCGCCGATTCGGCATTCGTTGACAAGTTAAGGGACCTTAAGTGAACTTATTCCGCTCAATGCAGGCCAACATATCTCTAAGATTACTCACCTTATACATGGGATTTTCTGTTCGATGGGCCATAATCAATATTTGTTCGGCTAGAAATATCCCCTTGGATGAAAAGAGGCCCATTACACACAAGACTTTAGATTTTCAGGCATTGGGATCCGTGACCTGGAATGCTAATACTATGATACGCTAGATGCTATACTCTTTCTAGTCTAAAATATAAGTATTTCTAAATTATTTCACAGAGATTAAAATTGAGGAGAAAAGATTTTGGTGCCTCTCAACAAAAAAGAGAGGGTTAGAGACTTAGGTGTGGGAGGATGGTTGGGATTAAGATGGGGAAAAATATTGAATGGAAAATAATTTATGTGATAAAATGTAGTGTAAATAGTGGTACAAATGCTTATATTATTGAACAAAACTGAAATCCTAGATATACTTATATATTGAAACTGATGAAGTTATTAATAAAATGCAACCAAACTCACAACCATACATTAATATATTCACCAAAAAAAACCCAGTACTCTGGCATTCTTATCATCAAGAAGAAAATCTCAAGTGGTGCACGTGCAACCAGACAGGCTAGACGCAGGGTCGTAGGCGGCAGTGCGGCACAAGATAGTCAACCGAGAAAAATCAATGAAGGCGGCATATCAAAGCATATGCCGGGATACACGAACATAGATGATTGATCGAACAATGACAAATTCAACTTATTTTACGTGAAAATGTGGCAACACATGTATATCAAAATTGTACTACCTTCGTCCCAAAATACTTATCGTTGTGAGTTTTTGTTTGTAACATTTTGATCATTCGTTTTATTAAAAAAAGTATGAAATTATTATTTATTTTGTTTATGACTTGCTCAATAGTACTTTTTAAGTAAGACTTATATTTTTTATATTTGCACTAGTTTTTTAAATAAGATGAATAGTATTACAAGTAAAAAGTTAAAGCGACAACTAATTTGGAAGGGAGGTACTATTATTTTCCTTGTATCGCGCTAGCTCCTAAACGACGGCCATATATACTGCTCGTTATAAATTTACTGCTCACACAGTCACACAGTGGAATTCGACTATCCTCAGTCTGCCACGGCGCCAAACAGGACTAGAGATGGCGCTCACTCATCACCTCCTCCGCGTTCTCTTAGCCACCGCATTACCGTTGCTCTTTCTCTCCCATGCAGGTAATTAACTCGATCAGAGATGTACAAACTACAAATTAAGGCTGAAAGGTAATTAATCTCACTTTCGTAATTAACAATCACAACGACGTCGTTTGTTTGTTCTTAATTTGCACACAGCAGATGCGGGCGAGTTGGGCGTGTGCTACGGGAGGGACGCGGACAATCTGATGGACCCGCAATCCGTGGTGAGCCTTCTCAGGGCGAACGGCATCACGATGGTGAGGATCTTCGACGCCGACCCGGCGGTGCTGAGGGCGCTGGCGAACACCGGCATCAAGGTGATGGTGGCGCTACCCAACACCGATCTGGGCTCCGCCGGCTGGGATCCGAGCTACGCACAGAGGTGGGTGGAGAGCAGCGTGGTGCCCTACTACCCGGCCACGCTGATCAACGGCGTGGCCGTGGGGAACGAGGTGTTCGATCAGGCGCCTCACCTGACCCAGCAGCTGGTGCCGGCCATGAGGAACGTGCACGCGGCGCTGGCGAGGCTGGGCCTCGCCGATGCCATAAGGGTGTCCACCCCGATCACGTTCAGCTCAGTCGAGGTGTCATTCCCGCCGTCCGCAGGCGCTTTCCGGGATGACATCGCGCAGTCGGTGATGAGCCCCATGATCGACTTCTTGCAGCAGACTGACTCGTACTTTATGGTAAATCTCTACCCATTCTTTGCATATGCGGATCCTTCTACCGGAATCTCCCTCGAGTACGCCACGTTCCGTCCCAATGCTGGTGTGTTCGATCCGGTGAGCGGCGTCACATATTACAGTCTCTTTGATGCCGAGCTAGATGCAGTTTACTATGCAATAAACAAGGTTTCTGGTAGTAACGAGAGGGCCTCGTTAGCCCAAGCAGGAGGACGGGTGCCCATCAGAGTTTCAGAATCAGGCCACCCCTCTGGTGGTAGAATCCGCTCAGGGGTCACAGAAGCCAATGCTGATGGGGACTCGGTGGCAACTAAAGCTAACGCTCAAGCATACAACAATGGCCTTGCCAAGCGAGTCTTGTTCGGGGCCTCCAATATGGAGGATGTTTCTGCGTACATATTCGCTTTGTTCAACGAGAACAAGAAGGGTGGGCCATCTATAGAGAGCAACTTCGGCCTGTTCTATCCGGATGGGACGAAGGTGTACGATGTTGACTTTCATGGTGGTGGTACATGTCCCACAAAGGAGAGCTGGTGTGTGGCAAATGCAGCTATTGGGAATGCACGGCTACAGGGAGCACTGGACTGGGCGTGTAGTAACGGCGCGGACTGCAGTGCTATCCAACAGGGAAAAGTGTGCTATGAGCCAAACACCATGGTTGCACATGCATCTTATGCATTCAATGACTACTACCAGCGTAATGGCAAGGCAAGTAGCGCGTGCAACTTTGCCGGTGCTGCTTACATCGTCTACAAGCCATCACCAAGTTAGTTTCCATTCAATGGCCATCTTTTAAGATCAATAAGCTTTTGCAATTGTGCATTCAATTCATATTGTGATATCCATCTTATTATGTTTTACATGTTCTATATATGAATTGTTTGTTGGGATTTAGGCATCTGTGACCCGAACCCGAGTTGGTGCGTGGCGAACGCAGAGGTCGGGGACATGCGGTTACAGGCAGCACTAGACTATGCATGCAGTAGCTGCGCAGACTGCAGTGCCATCCAGCCTGGTGGACGGTGCTTTGATCCTAACACCAAGGTGGCGCATGCGACCTATGCATTCAATGACTATTACCAGACTGCCGGCAGGGCAAGTGGCTCGTGTGACTTTGGTGGTGCTGCTTCCATCGTCAACCAGGCACCGAGTGAGTTCACACGCTTATGCATACTTTTATTTCGTGTTGTTAATTGTTATCTTATTAGCGTTTGTTCAATCATTCATAGGAATTGGAAACTGCGTACTCCCACCAAGCAAGACTTCTTCAATGAACATATTTTACTGAAGACCGAAGGTAGCTTACCAGAAGCTCAATAATGAAAGTGGGATTGAAGAATAGCCCCGTATTACTGTGCTGAGAAAATAAGGATGATATTGTATTTAGATTCTGGTTAAGAATTTTAAGTGTATTCCGTTCGCTCTTGTTGAATAAAATTCCTTTCTACACAATGCAGAATAAAATGTACAATAAACTCCATCAAACTCCTAGAGTGCAATGGAAAATTTGGGAATGCAAATACACTTAGCTGCCTAAATAGTCCATATTCTGTGCTCAAACTATGAGAACCAGCGACTACATACTTTAGAAAATTAACTAAGCCAAAAGTTGGAAAAACAACGATTTCTAATAATTGCTCCCTCTCCCAAACAAGGCCTTACACTGCTATACATTATATTGTTAATGTGTCCAAATTACCTGTTTCGATGGTTAGTTGTTCATTTATATGCTACAAATCTAGAACTCTACCTACTGCAGACTGCAGACAAGGTGTTTGATGATATGCCATGTTTAGGAACATTAGTTCAGAGTGTGCAAAGAACATAAGATAACTGGCCATATAAGAATATAATGTAATGACAACAACTAGAATATTTAAATGTGCCTTCTAAGGTGCAGATCAAACCATACGCAGATGGTTCAATGAAGTTGACAAACAATGGTGACAATTGCGCCACTGGGAAAGGGGGGATTAGGAATGGGGAGGGGGAAGGGTTATCTGGGGTATATGTCAGTAACTGTCATCCTATTCACGGAGATATCCTCTTCATAGATTGCATTAGGCCGATTATACACGGGTTGCTCAAAGGGTTGAGAACATGAGTTTGAGTCTCCATCAAAGAAGAATGCAGGTTGTGCCGGTGGCTGAAGATTCATGTTTTCCCTACTCAACATGAAAATGACAGATGACATGTGAGGCCTGTCATCAGGATCTGACTGGACACACAGCAGCCCGATATGAATGCATCGCAGTGCTTGTCTTCGGAATTGCTCTTCAAGTGATTGGTCAATTAGTTGTGTAACCGTCCCTTTTGTCCAGCAATTCCAGACCTGTTAGACGATTTGAAATTAGTTTGTTATCTAAAACTTGATATAGAGTACTTTCGGGTATGATATCATGAATATTGCAGTATGTAAATGCACTAAAAGTATATATGTACAGGAGCAAGCTCAACCTTATTGAGCACTTACATCACTAAGGAGATTCCCGCGATCATGATCGTCAGAATTGAGGTTCCTTCTCCCTGTTACAATTTCAAGGACCAACACACCAAAACTTAAAACATCGATCTTGGTTGACACATTTCCGTGTATTGCGTACTCAGGTGCCATATAACCGCTGCAGAGGATAAGCATTAGGCTTGCACATTCAATATCTCTATGAGTGAAGGTTTTATTATGCACATGAGCTTACAATGTTCCAACAATTCTAGTTGTCCGAGTATTAGTATGACCTTCTTCTAGTAGCCTTGCCAATCCAAAATCTGCAATTTTTGGTTCCATGTCCTCCCCAAGTAGGATGTTGTTTGATTTCAGGTCTCGGTGAATGATCCTCAAGCTTGAGTCCTCGTGAAGATACAATATTCCCTTGGCAATTCCAAAAATGATGTTGTACAGTTGCTCCCAGTTTGGTGTGTTTCCCCTACTGGTATCTGTTGAGATGAAATGTTTAATTTAATCATAATCACTCACCTATAATACGTCAAATTCTATTCTTAGCCATGTAACTTGTTTGTCAGAAATGCTACAGTACATATTCAGTACCCCACACTAACTTGCAGTTGTGCATTGCTCAGTTTATTCTTATTGATGTTAGTGTTTATAGTACAGCGACTCCACTATTATAAATATGTCTGTGCATACAGAAAAGGGGGAGTTTTTGTACTTGCAAAGTAGATCAGCACTGCAATCTTTTTTTACATTGACAAACGAAGATAGAGTTATGATTATGCTTCTGAAATGATAAATTAGAAGGGAAATTACCGAATAGAAAGTTATCCAGGCTCCCGTTCTTGACGTATTCATAAACAAGCAGTGTTTCCCCCTGATGCAAGCAAAACCCTTGTAGCTTAACAAGGTTCTTGTGTTGAAGCTCTGCCAATAACAACACCTCATTTTGTAGCTGATCCAATCCATGCTCACTTGTTCCCAAAAGTTTCTTCACTGCTACTTCTTGTCCATCTGAGAGTACTCCCTGAACACAATTGGTGCAGGCAATTTAATCTTCGTTTGATCACTAATGCATAATACATTTCAAACATTTCTCTTACATTTTTGGGTGCTAACCTTACCTTGTATACAATACCATAACCACCTTCTCCGAGCTTATTATTGTCCGAGAAGTTATCCGTTGCCTCTTGCAGAGCTGGCAGGTCAAAAATCAAGCATTGTGCTCTTGTTATCTTCCTCAACTCTGTTGCCATATGACAAGGATTATGTCAGTGAACAGTAAATTCGAGCTACTGAACAGAGGCTGTATGCTACTCACGGTGGTCAGTCTCAGTAACCTTGGACCTTCTCCTGAAGAGAACAACTGCAAAAAATGAAAGGATCAACAATACCACAACTGAAGAAGCGACGACGGCAGCGATTCCAGCTGCACTCTTTTTCTTCCCTGCAAACACCAAACATGAACTTCAATTGGGGAAACCTTGATTTCACTGTAACTTCTGTTATTTTTTTTTCTTCAGGAAAAATGAAGAACAGAGTAGGTCATACTCCATACCTGCTCCAGGCTCTAGAGATAGAACCGGAGCCTCGGCTGCTGGTGGTGGTGGCGCCGACAGCTGCAGCATCGCCCGGCCTCCGTAGAACGGCCGCACACTATACATCAGTCTGCACCACACCGAATTCATACCAACCCAGCTAAGGCTCTTGCCAAAGTACACTTGTTTTGCTTGAAAAAGGAAGGTGTTGAGGCATTCCTTGCACTGCTCCTGCGTCAGGTCCGGCACGCACTGCGCGAACCCGTAGATGTTGGGGTCGAAGTCCTCCTCACCCGTGGCGAAATACTTCTTGGTGGTCGAGTTGTTGCCCGTCGCCGTGGCCACGGCGTGGTCGACCAGGGCGGCGAGGATCTTCGCGATGGCGGCGTTGAACCAGCCAACCGCCGGCGCATTGACGCTCTCCGAGGCTTGCTCGGGAACCCAACTGTTTGTAACGAGCTACTCGAATTAGTCTATCTGATTCTAGCAGGAAGAGATCGAAAGAAGGGAGATATGTAGATTGTCCGTACATCATCTCGGTGACCTGCCACTGATCCGGACTGAGGAAATCCATGAACCTCTGGCCGGAGAAGCGAACTACGCAGGCGTCCTCGTACACGGTGACGCCATTGATGCCGGGGCAAGCATTCTTCCCGTCGACGAACGCCGCCGCGACGCACGCGCGGCAGGCTGTGGCGTTCACGTCGCCGCGGCAGAGCGCCAGCGCGAACACCTGGTCGGGATCCGCGCCGACGGTGGCGACCGCGAAGCCGCCGGTATGCGCCGTGGAGACGTTGCCGGGGAGCTCCGCGGCGAGGTGGTTCAGGTTCGCCTCGAACGTGCTGTTGCCCACGTACGTGTTGCCGACGCCGAGGTCGCAGTCAGCGATCCCAGCCGGCGTGGCCGACGGCGGCAGGAGGACGAGGACAACGGCGAGGATGCCATAGCCGGCGAGCATCATCGCAGCAAAGGGGGGAAGGGGAGAATTTTTTTTTCTTTTTGTCAAGTAAATTGGAACACCAAAATGGAGTTGCGGCGGCCGACGTCAAATCGAGTGGCGTAGTCTAGTCGGTGCGACATCATTTAGCACGTTGCGGCGACTTGAACGCGTAAGTGGAGTCAAACATTTCCTTTCCGCCAGACTGGCTAGCTATGGATGGCATGCATGGCGTTGGAGTCTTGGGGCGAAATTCCGGTGAGACTTTAGGAGCATCAGCACGATGGGGGCGAAAGCCAATGGTGGGTTTGTGATCGACGGATGCGAATTGGATTACATAAGCCCATAGTCGAGACTGAGAGAGGTAAAATTGATTTTTTTTGGAAAAAGTATACCCAAGGTCCCTCAACTAGTCATCGAGTTACAAAATCGTCCTCCAACCACAAAACCAGATATATGACATCCCTCAACTTACAAAACCGTTCGCTTGAGGTCCTTCGATGGTTTTGACCCTGATTTTATTTGACGCGGCTACTGAGTCAGCGTGGGACCCACGTGGGCCCCACATGTCAGGATGCCACGTCACACCCTTTCTTTCCCCTCCTCTCCTTTCCTCCCCTCTCTCTCTCTCTCTTTTCTCCTCAATGGGCAGCTAGCCGGTGGGTGGGAGAAGGTCCGGCCGGTGGATGGGCAAGAGGCTGGCGAGCCGAGACGGGAGAGGAGGAGGTCCGACAGCTGGCGACCGACAACGGGCGACGCGGCGGCAGCGGTGACGACAACGAAGCAAGAGGCAACAGCGGCGGCAGGGATGAGGTGGGGGAAGGGAGAAGAGAGCCTCCCCTCATGGCGACGGCGGCCTCCTCACTCTCCCGTTGCACTCCCCGTCCCTGCTGCTCGTTGCCGTGTCGGCCCCAAGGCACCTCGCCGTCGGCATCCCCATCCCGAGTCCTGGCTCCTCCGGCGGCAATGGGGATGAGGTGGGGCAAGGGAGGAGAGGGCCTCCCCCCATGGCGACGGCGGCGTCCTCACTTTCCCATCGCGCTCACGTCCCCGCTGCTCGTTGCCGTGGCGGCCCCAGGGCACCTCGCCGTCGGCATCCCCATCCCGAGGCATGGCTCCTCCGGGGGTGGCGGGGATGAGGTGGGGGAAGGGAGGAGAGGGCCTCCCCCCATTGCGACGGGCAACATGATGACGATGACGTCCTCGCTCTTCCGTCTCTGCTGCTCGTTGTTGCGGCACCCTCAGGCCTTAGGCCACCTTGCCGTCACTATCCCTATCTGATGCTTGGCTCCTCCGGTGACGGCAGGGATGAGGTGGGGGAAGGGAGGACAGGGCCACCATTCGCAATGGCCTTCACCGCACAACCCTTTGCAGCCTTGGCGTCCACCACACATGCGCGGCCAGCCATCCCACGCCGCTGTCCTTCGTCGCCTCTCCACCTAGAGCGACGGCGCGCCACCCACCTCCGCCAGTGCTGCACGGCCTCCCGCACCCGCCCTCCCACACCGCCCGGCCTCCCCGACGAGCCAGGCGCCGTCGCGACGACGCGGCTGATGGAGAAGGCGTCGTGAGTAGGCTGAGGGGAGGAGAGGGGAAAGGGGAAGAAGAGACTCAGATCTCACTGACATGTGGGGCCCACGCTGACTCAACTGCCACGTCGGATAAAACCAGAATCAAAACCGCCTGAGGATCTAAAGTGATCCGGTTTCGTAAGTTGAAGGATGATATATATTTGGTTTTGCGGTTAGAGGACGATTTTGTAATCGATGACAAGATGAGGGACCTCTGGTGTACTTTTTCCTCTTTTTTTTTCACCTCAGAAATATCCTCCTCCGATCAAAAGTGGCCCATTACTCGTATGGGCTGTTCTGTCAAATGGGCCTTCCGATTAATTTTCATGGGCTGTAAGATGGGCCTACCAACTAGGATATCATCGATCGAGCACGGCGAGGAGGGAGAGGAGGGCCAAGAGGGGGGGGGGGGGGGGGGGGTTCGCCGTTCGCCAGGGAGGCGACGGGGTGATGCGCCGCCGTGGACCGGAAGGGCTATCGGCAGCACCACTGGAAATGCAGATCACTAGACAAGGAGGAGAGTTGGAGCCACGTCCATGAGCAAGAAGAAGGGCGGCGTGCCGTGGGAGCCCGGGATGCCGGGACAGGCTGAGCAGAGCAGGTGCGGGTTTTGCATTCCGTAGGATATGATATGAATATCTCTTGTTGTGATATTTTTTTCTTTCCAGGTTGCCTGTTTCGTTGATTATAGCTGGTCTGAATGCTACAAATCTAGAACTCAACCTAGTGCAGACAAGGTGTTCGATGATATGGCGATACTCTGGAAGATCACTAATAGCTCGAGTCTGCAAATAAGATGAGATAACTGACCATATAAAATTACAATGTTACCTCAATAGGCAGAATATCTGCATCTGACTTCGAATTCAAGGACCAAACACTAGCGAAGTTCGCCTTTGATCACTTTAGATGCATACACATTTCACTTATCTATGAAAAACTAAAAACTAAAAGGGTTATCTAGGATATATGTCAGTAAGTGTGATCCCATTCGCAGAGATATCCTCTTCATAGATCTTACCAGACCGATCGTACACATAGACGCGCTGGTCAGATGTTTGAGAAGCTGAGTTCGAGTTTCCGTTGAAGAAGAATGCAGGCTCTGTTGGTGGCTGAAGCTCCATGTTATCCCTGGTCAGCATGAAAATGACTGATGGAATGTCCGGCCTGTCGTCAGGATCTGATTGGACACACAGCAGCCCAATGTGGATGCATCTTAGCGCCTGGTTTCGAAAGTGCCCTTCAAGTGATTGGTCAATTACCTGTGAAATCACACCTTCGGTCCAGTAACTCCATACCTGTCAGGTGTTCTTATCAGTTTTTCAATCTTTTCTGAAGGAGTTTTTCATGTTCCTTGAAGTTATTGAGAGTTAGAAGTATATACTATAGTTAATTTTGCTTCCATTTTATTCTGATCCTCACATCTCTTGTCCCTCATGATTAACACTAGGACATACTACCTCTTAATACCTTCAAGGAGCAATTAAAGATTTCCTTTTGAATATATTTCTTCAATTATGTTTGTTTTAGAAATGGGAATGTGGATACCGCAATGTAGTATGTAAAAATGCACTTACATCACTTAGGAGATTCACTGTGTCAGTGGTGCCATCGCCATAGCTGCAGTTCTTTCTCTTGGTTACAATTTCAAGTACCAGCACGCCAAAGCTGAAAATGTCAATCTTTGGTGACACATTTCCATGTATTGCATACTCTGGTGCCATATATCCGCTGCAGATGATGAGAAGTTAGGCATAGAAGCACACATTTTGGTCCCAGCGATTTGAATTGAATACATAAGCTTACTATGTTCCAACAATTCTAGTTGTCTTTGTGTGAGTATGACCTCCTCCTATCAGTCTTGCTAGTCCAAAGTCTGCAATTTTTGGATCCATATCCTCATCAAGCAGAATATTGTTAGCTTTAAGGTCTCTGTGGATGATCCTTATGCTTGAGTCCTCGTGAAGGTACATTATTCCCTTGGCAATTCCAAAAATGATGTTGTACTGTTGGTCCCAACTTAGTGCATTTCCTCTACTAGCATGTGCTGCAACAAAGTGGTTAGTTTGTATCAGGCAGTGACTCTGATTGATAAGTAGAGAACAACTTTATGATCCTTTTGCAACTTGGTTCTTAGAAAGAAATCCTGAGAAAATGTTTACTGAATTTTTCAGTCTTAGCTATGGTCCTTTTTGCAACGTCGTTGTTAGAACAGTGATTACTTATTTGGTTTGCAGTTCTGCTTGTATAACTGTATGGAAAAACCATTTAGTACTGCAAACATTTTGACCATGCATGTTGCAATTTGCAAAAATATAATTCCAATCTCCAGGTTGCAACAGTTTCTTAAACTTGATAAAGCAATGGGAAATCTTATGAACACGAAATCAATTAACATTGAACAAAATTCAGGATTAGTATTACTTGGAGAGGAAATCAGGGAGAATACCAAATAAAAAGTTGTCGAGGCTCCCATTTTTTATGTATTCATAAACAAGCAACATCTCATCCTTATGGACGCAAAACCCCTGTAGCCTAACAAGGTTCTTGTGCTGAAGCTCTGCCAACACCAGCACTTCATTGTGTAGCTGATTCAGTCCATGCCCACAACTTTCTATGAGCTTCTTTACTGCTATTTCTTGGCCGTCTGGTAATTTTCCCTGAAACAGACTCTTTCTCATAAGAAAAAGGACCTGCAAATTTTACTCTTCATTTTGCTTGCATAACAGTACCTTATATACAGTACCAAATCCGCCTTCTCCAAGCTTATGCTTCTCTGAGAAGTTCTCAGTTGCCTCTTTCAGTGTAGCCAAATCAAAGATCGTGCATTTTCCTCTTGCCATTTTCTTCAATACTGTTGTTGTGTTTTTTTTTTAATGCAATACATATCAATAAATGTAAAATAAGAAAACAGTTCCTGAACAAACATCAAGCTACTCATCAGTTACTTACAGTTGTCTTTCTTTGCAGCCTTCTTTCTCTTGAAACGAATGAAAGCATAAGCTGACAGTATCAACATCAAGACAACGAAGCAAGCGACGCCTGCAGAGATCCCTGCAACTCTCCTTCTCCTCGCTGCATACAACAAACAGACATTCAGAGAAGTTGAATTGATATGTGCAGTGTCAAAGTTTGCGAGAAAAAAGTATCGTTTCTTCAATGGAAGAAGAAGAAAAAGAAGGCAATTCTTTTACCTGTTCTAGTCGGCGGAGCAGCAAGTGAAGGCATGGCCGGCGGCGGTGGCTCCGGCGGCGCAGAAATCTGCAGCATTGGCTGGCCCTGATAGAACGGCTTCACGCTGTACCTCAGGTTGCACCAAATCCCAAGAACTCTCCCTCCGGGCTTCCCGTTCAAGAACCATGGGATCGACGAGACGAAGCCGCCGAGGCAGCTCCGGCACTGCGCCGCCGTCATCACCGGCGCGCACTGCGCCATCCCGTAAATCTTCGGGTAGTGCTTCGGGTCGAAGTCCTCCACCGCCGTGGCGAAGTACTTCTTGGTGTTGTTGCTGCCGCTGCCGGCGGCCACGGCCGTGTCCACCGTCGCGTTCATCAGCGCGACGACGGCGGCGTTGAACCAGGCCACCGGGACGGCCGTGATGTTGCTGTCGGCGTCGGAGTAGAGCTCGCTGACCGGCGAGTTCACGCCGACGAAGTCGAGGAACCGCTGGTCGGAGAAGCGGACGATGCAGCCGTCCTGGTAGGTGGTGGCGTCCTTGCTGCTGGGGCAGTCCCGCCGCGCGACGCGGAACGACGCCGCGACGCACGCGCGGCACGCCGTGGCGTTCGCGTCGCCGCGGCACAGCGCCAGCGCGGACACCTGGTCGGGCACCGCGCCGACGGTGGCCGTGGCGTAGCCGGCCGCCGCCGCGGTGGACGCGTTGCCCGGGAGCGCCGCCGCGAGGACGGCGAGGTTCGCCTCGTACGTGCTGTTCGCCGCGTAGGCGCCGCTGGCGCATGACGAGAACTGCATGGTCTGCTGCGCCGCGGCGAGCGGCAGCAGCACGGCAACGACGACGACTACAACTGCGAGCATTGCCGCGGCCGGCAGAATGCAACGTACAATTCCTCTTTCCCTTCTTTGACGGACGAACCTTGCGCGGCAACTCTGAGCCTGAGCTTAACTAACAATTTTTTTTCTTTTGCAGGAAAAAAACGCGCAATTGGCGGTTTTTGACCGAGACAATGATCAGTAGCTCTCGCCCGCCATTACAGTTGCGCTGTTTGTCGTTTGAGAATATTCATTTCCTCTGCGTTGCCGCTGGTACTTGTCAAGTTCTCGTCATCAGATAAACGTACAGCAACTTGCATTGCCAATTGGCTGAGGTCGGCATTTCCGTGTCGGAAGGTGAGGCCCATTCTCCCCGGCGAACTCCGGTCTCGCGTCGGTCTCCCTACATAAGTCGCCTGCCTCCACCTCTTGACAGTGTCAGCTGTGTCCATGGCGCATCGCGCTGGCTGCCTCTCGATGCTGCTCACCGCCGCCGTCGTGCTGCTGGCGCTGGCGCCGCGTGGCGCGGCGTACCCGTGGCAGGTGTGCGGCACGACGGGCAACTTCACGGCCAACAGCACGTACCAGGCCAACCTCGACGCCGTCGCGGCGGCGCTGCCCCGGAACATCTCGTCGTCGCCGGACCTCTTCGCGACCGCCATGGTGGGCGCCGTGCCGGAGCAGGTGTCGGCGCTGGCGCTGTGCCGCGGGGACGCCAACGCCACGGAGTGCTCCGGCTGCCTCGCCACGGCGTTCCAGGACGTGCAGAACATGTGCGCCTACGACAAGGACGCCGCCATCTACTACGACCCTTGCATCCTCTACTACTCCAACGTCCCCTTCCTCTCCTCCGTCGACAACGCCGCCTCGACGAGCCGCGTCAACCTGCAGAACGTCACGTCGGACCCGGGCAGGTTCAACGGCATGGTGGCGGCGCTGGTGAACGCCACCGCCGACTACGCCGCGCACAACTCCACCCGCCGGTACGCGTCCGGCGAGGCCGTCCTCGACAGGGAGTCGGAGTTCCCCAAGGTGTACAGCTGGGCGCAGTGCACGCCGGACCTGACGCCGGCGCAGTGCGGCGACTGCCTCGCCGCCATCATAGCCAAGCTGCCGAGGTTGTTCACGAACCGCATCGGCGGCAGGGTTCTTGGAGTCAGGTGCAGCTACCGGTACGAGGTAAACCCCTTCCTCAATGGCCTGGTGATGGTGCATCTGACTGCGCCACCGATTCCGACAGCATCACCGCCCGCCGCTGCCGCGGCGGCGGCCGGAGAAGGTGAGTCAAAGCATGCTTCTTTTTTTTCTTTTTGCTTACTCTAGATTTTGCACGTGCGTGATGGCTTTCAAATGATTGAAACATTGTTTAGTTCATCCATTGGTGACAAAAATGATTAGCGAAGTCCCCTGAAGTTGGTTTGATGTGATTGATCTTCCGTTGATTAATTCAACTGGTAGTTAACCTTGTGAGAGTCGTTAACGAACACTGCTAGCATTGTGGAGTACTATACACATATAGGCTGCGTTTGTTTCAGGGTGTTCCCAACCCCTGTTCCTCGTTAATAGACTGCTCCATTTTTCGTGCGGAGTAGATGGGTTCCCAACCCCATGTGTCGAACACAGCCATAATCGGTAGGTGATCTATCTGTGTTGTTTATTTGTGGGGGTGGTGTATAGGGACAGTGTCATTTCATTTTCAGTATGTCAGCTTCAGTGTATCTACAAAAAAATAACAATAAAATTAAAGAATGGAATTCGTAGGCCAAGTGGGATTAGAGATGCAGTGCACCAAGTAGATAAGATGTCACATTTGTTGGCATTTAGCCCTTCACAATGTTCCTATCATCATACAGCCTGTGGTTTTGTTCTTCAGTCAGCGCCTGTAGGTTTGCTCCAATACAGAGGCACATTCTGAAGGCAACACACTGTATTGGCTACGGCATTAGCAGTTAGAAGCAATGTTTGTTTAAAGAGTAAATTTCACAAAACTATATGTGTTTTGCACAATCTATCTATCTATTATATAATAATTATATAATTAAAGTAATAGAAAAAGGAGCCTTCACGTTCGCTCTCACGGCTTAGGAATTCTCACATTAATCGAAAGAAAATAAGAGAAAAAAACAAAACACCAAGTGTATTAGGATTAGGTCATGCAAACGGACAAGAAAAATTAAAAGTTAAAATGGACAGAACAAATAGAAAAAAAAACAAAGGATATTATAATGATAGTGTGTAAACAGATAATGATTCTTTGGAATCCGTATGAGAGAATTTCTGCATGCCCATATCACGGTAATTGACTTATCCCTTTTTTAATTGTACACAATACATGTCATCTCAATAAATACATGTCCTAGAAAAACATAAATAACAAAAGTAATCGCATGATTTTCTCGCCGCAAATTAGCACATCAGTAATCTTTTTACTACAATCCACTTCATCAGCAGATTAACAAACATAAATCTTTTCATGCAATCCGCTTCGTCAACTAGCAGACCGAAAATATATATAATTTACAAATAACTAAAATTTGATATTAAAAATAATTAATAAATAAAACATATATAAAATAAAATATGAATATTACACATCAGTAGTTTCGTAAAGTTATTGCAAAATTTAAAATTATGTTGTCATTTTAATATATTTAAATAATATAATGAGAAAACATATATGCTATTATATGAGAGAAAATATAATGATGCTAGCCGCGCAATCTGCGCGGGCCACCATGCTAGTTAACTTATTAAAGGAATAGAAAAAGGAGCCTCCACGTTCGCTCTCACGGCATAGAAATTCTCATATTAATCGGAGAAAAAGAAAAACAAAGTCCATATAGAAATACAATTTATAAATAACTGAAATTCGGAATTAAAAAGTAAGGAATATTAGAAGTAGAGTATAGAGTCCATATAGAAATACAATTATGAAATAATAGAAATTCGGAATTAAAAATAAGGAATATTAGAAGTAGAGTATAGAGTCCATACAGAAATACAATTAGGAAATAATATAAATTCGGAATTAAAAATAATAAATATTAGAAGTAGAGTATAGAGTCCATATAGGAATTTAAAACTAACTAAAATTCGGAATAAACATAATAAAATTAAAAGTAGAGTTTAGAGTCCATATAAAAATACAATTTACAAATAACTAAAATTCAAAATTAAAAAAAAACATGGGAAGAAGATTCTAAAGTCAATATAGGGATATAATTTAGAAGTAACTGAAATTCGAAATTAAAAATTAAAGAATATTGAAAGATGAGTTTAGAGTCCACATAGAAATGCAATTAGAAATAACAAAAATTCAGAATTAAAAATAAAAAAATATTGGAAGAAGAGCCTAGAGTCTACATAGAAATACAATTTACATATAACGAAAATTCAGAATTTAAAAAATATTAAGAATAATTAATAACTATACAGAACAAATAGAAAAAAAAACAAAGGATATTATAATGATAGTGTGTAAACAGATAATGATTCTTTGGAATCCGTATGAGAGAATTTCTGCATGCCCATATCACGGTAATTGACTTATCCCTTTTTTAATTGTACACAATACATGTCATCTCAATAAATACATGTCCTAGAAAAACATAAATAACAAAAGTAATCGCATGATTTTCTCGCCGCAAATTAGCACATCAGTAATCTTTTTACTACAATCCACTTCATCAGCAGATTAACAAACATAAATCTTTTCATGCAATCCGCTTCGTCAACTAGCAGACCGAAAATATATATAATTTACAAATAACTAAAATTTGATATTAAAAATAATTAATAACTAAAACATATATAAAATAAAATATGAATATTACACATCAGTAGTTTCGTAAAGTTATTGCAAAATTTAAAATTATGTTGTCATTTTAATATATTTGAATAATATAATGAGAAAACATATATGCTATTATATGAGAGAAAATATAATGATGCTAGCCGCGCAATCTGCGCGGGCCACCATGCTAGTTAACTTATTAAAGGAATAGAAAAAGGAGCCTCCACGTTCGCTCTCACGGCATAGAAATTCTCATATTAATCGGAGAAAAAGAAAAACAAAGTCCATATAGAAATACAATTTATAAATAACTGAAATTCGGAATTAAAAAGTAAGGAATATTAGAAGTAGAGTATAGAGTCCATATAGAAATACAATTATGAAATAATAGAAATTCGGAATTAAAAATAAGGAATATTAGAAGTAGAGTATAGAGTCCATACAGAAATACAATTAGGAAATAATATAAATTCGGAATTAAAAATAATAAATATTAGAAGTAGAGTATAGAGTCCATATAGGAATTTAAAACTAACTAAAATTCGGAATAAACATAATAAAATTAAAAGTAGAGTTTAGAGTCCATATAAAAATACAATTTACAAATAACTAAAATTCAAAATTAAAAAAAAACATGGGAAGAAGATTCTAAAGTCAATATAGGGATATAATTTAGAAGTAACTGAAATTCGAAATTAAAAATTAAAGAATATTGAAAGATGAGTTTAGAGTCCACATAGAAATGCAATTAGAAATAACAAAAATTCAGAATTAAAAATAAAAAAATATTGGAAGAAGAGCCTAGAGTCTACATAGAAATACAATTTACAGATAACGAAAATTCAGAATTTAAAAAATATTAAGAATAATTAATAACTATCACGTATATAAAATACAATATGAATATTACACATTAGTAGTTTCGTAAAGTTAGTACAAAATTTAAAATTATGTTGTCATTTTAATATATTTGAATAATACATTAAGAAAACATATATGCTATTATATGAGAGAAAATATAATAATGCTAGCCACGTAATCTGCGCGAGCCACCATGCTAGTTTATCATAAAACTAAATATTTAAGAGCTTGTTTCACAAAACTAAAGATTTAGTGTCTCCGTTTATCACAAAACTACAAGTACTTTGTACAATAGATCACAAAACTACAGATTTAAGAATTTGTTTCATAAAACTATAGATTTAGTGTATTCGTTTATCACAGAACTACACATTTAGTGTCTTTATTTATCACAAAACTACAAATTTAGTGTTTTAAAACCTATAGTTTTGTGATAATGGAGACACTAAACCTGTAGTTTTGTGATAAATGAAGATATTAAATCTGTAGTTTTGTAAAGCAAGTTCTTAAATATGTAGTTTTATAATATATTGTGTAAAGTACATGTAGTTTTGTGATAAACGAAGACATTGAATCTGTATTTTTGTGAAACAAGTTCTTAATCTGTAGTTTTGTGATAAATCGTGCAAAGTATCTGTAGTTTTACGAAAGAGTGAATTGCATTGGCGGTACACGAATTTGTCAGGTGGGTGCAATCTAGTGCATGAACTTATAAAATGCTCATGTTGGTGCATGAACTTGTCTAGTGCGTCCGGAGGAAGGCGAAAAGGACATTATATATATAGCTAATCTTATTGATTTAGGGGCTAATTAGGATATTATGTAAACATATATCTGAGAAGGTTGCTATTAGACATACACCTCTTCAATAAAAAAAATAGAATATGATATAGTGATAGTAGAAAAAGATGAAAAAAACCAAGCAAATGATATTTTGGTCCTCGTTCGCACGAAATAGACAAGTTTGTGTACTGAAATGAGGATTTTACAAGTTTATGTAATAAATTGTACCCACCTAACAAGTTTGTGTACCACCAATACAATTTACTCTTTACGAAATTTACTCTTGTTTAAATGATCTTGACAGAATAAAAAAATATTTTTTCCTTCAGTTTTCTGAATATACATGACAAGAATATGGCAAATGAGATTGAAAATGACTGAAAGGCGATGTTGGTACTTGCCTATTAGCTTCTGGCAGCTCTTGCACGTTGCTTGCGTAATGCTATTGATTATGTGTTTAGTTGCAACTTACTCATTTGATCTGAAATTAGTCTACATCTGTCAATTCACAGGGAAAGATTACAATGTTCCTCGCTTGGTTCTAGCAATTTTGCTGCCTACTATAGCAGCTTTAGTGCTAATCAACATTCTAGTTTGGCTCTGCTTCTGGAGGAGGATGGAGAGGCTACGATCAGGAGCAACTCAGCCATGTATGCCCTGCAAAATTTTTCAAGGAGAATTTGAAACAAATTAAGTTGTTAGCTTACATTGGCATTTATACTTGAACAGATTCCAGCAACTCTGCTGAATCGGAGAATATTTCAAGTGTGGAGTCGATGCTTATCGACATTTCGACTTTACGAGCTGCTACAGGGTGTTTTGCAGAACGCAACAAGCTTGGCGAAGGTGGATTTGGTGCAGTGTACAAGGTGCTGACTCTAACATAACTGAAGAAAGTATCACTAAAAATATATTCATTACTAAGTGTTACTATTGATTTGGTCTGAACAGGGTACTCTGCCTGATGGCGATGAAATAGCAGTGAAGAGATTATCGAAGAGTTCAGCACAAGGAGTGGGAGAGCTGAAGAACGAGCTCGCATTGGTTGCAAAGCTCCAGCACAAGAATCTTGTCAGGCTTGTCGGTGTCTGCCTGGAGCAAGAGGAGAGGCTTCTCGTCTATGAGTTTGTTCCCAACCGCAGCCTCGATCAGATCCTCTTTGGTACCACCAAACTTACTAATCCACTCAATTTTAGCTAAATATCTTCACCATTTTCTCTGCAAAGTTCAATAACATCAAGCTGATCATTCACTCTCAACATGTTTTTTTATCAATATCAGACGCCGACAAGCGTCAACAGCTTGATTGGGGAAAGAGGTACAAGATCATCAACGGCATTGCTCGTGGCCTGCAATACCTCCACGAGGACTCGCAGCTCAAGGTAGTCCACCGTGATCTCAAAGCGAGCAACATCTTGCTCGACATGAACATGAACCCGAAGATCTCTGACTTTGGGCTCGCGAGGCTCTTCGGGCGAGACCAGACGCAGGGGGTCACCAACCTCGTCATCGGCACATAGTCAGTGGCAGTAACCCAAATACAGAGAACATAACAATTTGTTGAAAGCTGTTGCTTGGATGGTCAGTTAATGAATAGTACTTTACGCTGTTGTATTTCAGTGGGTACATGTCACCGGAATATGCGATGCGAGGCAACTACTCCCTCAAGTCCGACGTGTTCAGCTTCGGCGTCATGGTGCTGGAGATCGTGACGGGGAAGAAGAACAACGACTGCTACAACTCCCTGCAATCCGAAGACCTCTTAACCCTTGTGAGCACTAACCATATGATCCTACTCGTCTGTTCATGGAAAAATGAGGTGATTGCTTAGCTAAAATTGACTGGATTACTCGTTTTTGTGCAGGTGTGGGAGCAGTGGACGGCGAGGGCGGTGTCGGAGGCGGTCGACCCGGTGATGGGCGGCGGTTTCTCGTGGAGCGACGTGATGCGGTGCATCCACATCGGTCTGCTCTGCGTGCAGGAGAACCCTGCGGATCGGCCGGTGATGTCGTCGGTGGTGATGATGCTCGGCAGCGACACGGTGTCGCTCAGGGCGCCGTCCAAGCCGGCGTTCTGTGCCAGGAGGAACGGCGGCACCGGCGGTGCCGGTGCCAGCTCGGGGGGCACGTCGTCTGGTACGTCGACGGCGGCGTCGGTGCAAGGCAAGTAACTGTAGAAGTGTGCAACGGTGAAACTGTGCTCGCTGTGTGGGATCTGCCATTCCGCTGAAGCATTCTTTGCCAGGTTAGGTTAGGCTTTCATAAGTATATAACGCAATGTACCAGACTGATTACCAAAAGAATCAAAGACAGCAAAATATACTGAAAACTTGTGGTTCAGTGGCTCCATGGAGCCTGAGTTCCTGTGCTACAAACCAGTGATTTCAAAATATTTGTAAACTTTTGTAATAGAGAGTAATTTTACGGTCCTTGAAGAGATTACATGAGGTTTTACTTTTTCTATTGTAAATTTGTTACCTAGGTAATATGAGGTACCAAATTTTACATTAAATTTTTGGTAACTCATGGAACCTCCTCAAGCACTGTAAAATTGCTCTTTTTAATAGAAGCGCATGGAGAAAAGGGTAAAGTTTTTGTTGACAAGGTTTTGCTAAATTTTGGTTGCTTGAAGTTTTATTATCTTGTAGTCACCAAAAATTGCAAGGCTAATTTTAGTTAAACTTCACTGCAATTTTGTTTATGTACTTGGGTTTACGTTACCTCAGTATTCTGTATTTACATTTTTGTATAGGTTCGTCATTTTGAAATTTATTGTATGGTTAGATTAATTTGTTCAACCTGTATAAAAAGAAACAATGAGAAAAGTTGTGGGAATGATGAGCATAGTTAGATCTCATCCAAAGGATAAGAAAAGTGGGAGGCATTGAAATTTCTGTCACTTGATGAATAGCCCTTTTCCAAATCGTAAACAAATGTGACGTGTACTAACAATTAACGAATAAACTAAAACATAATATATTGACTCAATCAATGGAGAAATGCATTCAGAATTCAGTAATACAAATTATCGAAGGCTTTCTCCCTGTAAGTTTGACAGATAGCAATCTGATTGTCCTTGCAATTGATTTTCCTATCTTTCATTCAGAAAATTGATTTATTTATCTTGGTTCAAGCTCTGTAACAGACACATCATTAACTGACATCATCCCAGACCTATGGGTCGGTTGGGAAGTTTGTGGGTATGATTCCGAGTATATATTTGAGTCTGTACCACTCTTGGGAATGAAAAATGATGGCTTGGATGGGGATTGAAGAGACACTGTGTTGCTGCTAAGCATGATATTCACTGTTGACATCATAGGTCGATCTGCTGGGTTATCTTGAACACACAGTAGCCCAATGTGAATACACTTGAGCATCTGGTCTCGAGGAGCATGGCTTGTAAGAGAGGGATCCATCATCTCCAAAATTGTTCCCATGGTCCAGTGCTCCCATACCTGCATCATATTGGCAAAGATGATTCAGAATTTTTGTAACAAGTTAGGAGATCATTCTGATTAGCTTTGTAGAATAGTCCAGGAAAAAGGACTTACACGGCTTAGGAGATCATATGATTGATCAAAGCTATATGAACCACTGCTTCTTCTTCCTGTCACAATTTCTATCATCAATATGCCAAAGCTAAAGACGTCTGATTTTACAGAATAGTGGCCACGCATCGCGTACTCTGGTGCCATATATCCACTGCAGTAAGAGAATAAAGTTACTCATGCCAGCATACTATTTGTATCTGATTGGGTTAGTTTAGACAATACTTACTATGTTCCTACCACACGGCTTGTGACTTCCCTTGTTTGATCACCCTCAAATAGTCTTGCCAAGCCAAAGTCTGAAATCTTAGGGTTATAATCGGAGTCTAATAAAACATTGCTTGCTTTGAGGTCTCGGTGAATTATTCTCAGTTGAGAATCTTCATGAAGATACTGTAATGCGCGAGCAATTCCATTTATTATCCTAAATCTTTTTCCCCAGTCTAACTCCTTCCTTTTCTCAAGATCTGTCAATTGAACAAGAAATGTCTTAGTAAACTACAGTTTTACCACTAATATATATTCATGATGACAAGGGCATGTGAATTCCAAGTGTTTGGCTTGGGTTGAAGACCTGATTCAAGAAGGTTGGGGGGGGGGGGTGTAAAGAAACACATTTTGGAAAGGAAATGTACAGTTCAGATCTAGTAGTGCTTGTGCAATTGTTGAATTCTGAGAATAGTACCAAATAGAATGGTGTCGATACTTCTATTGGGCATGTATTCATACACAAGCAATTTCTCATGTTCTTGCAAGCAGACACCAACAAGCCTAACAAGATTCTTCTGCTGAAGTTTAGCAACCAAAACAAGCTCATTTTTTAGCTCTTCTATTCCTTGTCCTGAACTCATAGAGAGCCTCTTTACAGCTATCTCTTCACCACTAGGAAGGACGCCCTGCATAAGTGCAAGCACTCGCTTATTGAAGCTGTACATAGTTATGCACTATATAAAGTGAATGATATATATGATTGCATTGGCACCTTATAAACTGAACCAAATCCTCCTTCACCAATCCTATTGCTCTCAGAAAAGTTACCCGTTGCAGCACGCAGTGTTGATAGATCGATAAAAAGTGAATCCGTGCTTTCAATGTCCTCCGCCATTTGAATTGAATCTATCAAAAGAGGGCAACAACATTATGATGCAATGTAACTGAAATATTAACTTTTCCTGAAATATAACGTCGACATTTCCAACTATGAAACCCTTTTTTCATTTCTAGGGAATAAAAGAATTCAAATAATCAAAGGGAATCACTGTTTCCCTCTCACTATAATCAAAATTGTTGGTGAACTTACATGAAGATTGCTGTTTTGACCTTGATCTTTTTCTCCACCTCTGAACAGAAAGACAAATGACAACCGTAGCCAACAATATAACAACTAGGGGCAATGCAATGGCTAGAGCTGTGCCACTTTTATTTTTCTTTCTTCCTGCAGGCAAGTGATTTCAGCTTCAGACAGATAAAACTTGTTTTTGTTGCGAAGACAGACATATAGAAGTATAGAACTTAACAAGACTAATTCATAACCTAAATATGATGACACATATCCACTATAATTAAGGTTTCTGTTCAAAAAGGTACATGCTACGAAGTCACACCAGAAACTTATTTAGTGCAGGTCAACACTTTGACCTATACAGCACACCGCAAAGCTAGTAAAGTCAAGCAATTTTCAATATATTATAAACGACTATTTTTTACTGTTAAAAAAGGTATTTTAGAATATGGTTTCATCTTCTCGTGTCTTTTCCTAATTAAACGGGAAAACATGGAGGAAACCAAAATCATTGTTGAACTTTACATGTAAAGCACATACATACAAGTTGCATAATGGAAGTGCAGTTAATTACCAACACTACATTGGAATAAATGTGTGAACTGACCAAGTAATCAGGCTCAATTGGAAAAGACACGAGAAGATGAAACCATATTCACCTAGCTCTGGCGCTGGAGTGATCAGATCTACAATTCTTTTTATTATTACTGGTGGTATCCACAAATCTCGGCAAAGTAGACAACCAGGATAATTGAATACAAATAAAAATATGAAAGATTGTGGGGAAATTTATGGAAAGTGACGGAGACGTGATCAAGTGATAAGGAAAAGTACTTCTAAAAGTATTCCTGAAAACATCATACTAGTATTATTTATTGGTAAATAAATGCATTGCAGTTGGAAATGTTGAGTAAGACGTGCTTTTCGCCGTTTCTGGTCAAGAATCCGATAGAAACAGGACTAAAGAAATGTCAAGATCAACCCAAAAAAGGAAGAAAAGTGTACAGGGTTATAATATGTGATAGCTACCAGCGTACCAGGCTCCTTTGACCAGTAATCCCCATGCAACCAGTTGCCATGATTGAGATATTTTTATATTTCCCCACATTTTTATTTTGTTATTTTTGCAATTCAACAGTACTGCAAAGCAAACCACAATTCTTAACGCGGTAACATTTTTTACCTAAACAGCAGAAACAATTTGAAGACATAGTACAAGTTTGTTTAGAGTTTTCTTCTTCAATAGTCGTTTGGTTGTCTTCATTTTGTCAAAATTGATGGAAAATTAATTATGAGCAGATGTTGTCGCGCTAATTAAATACCAAGATAAATTACTGCAAAAGAAGTGGATCCCCTTTGTCTGCAACACACCTCCGGTTGGCGCCGTCGGCGTCGAGTTCGCCGGCGCCGGGAGCCGCAGCATCGAGCCTCCGGCGAAGAAAGGACCCACCTCGTACCTGAAATTGCAGCGCATCCCGATAGCCCTCCCGCCCTTCCTCCGGCTGAGGTACCGAGGGATCAGCGCGATTATGCGCCCGAGGCAGCTCCGGCAGTCGTCCGGCGACATGTCCGGCGTGCACTGGGACAGCCCGTAGATGGTCGGAGTAGCGGCGGCGGCATCGAAGGCCTCCTCCCCCGTGGCGAACCGCCTGGACGAGTTCTCCGCCGCGTAGCTGCTGGTGGCGTTGAGGAGGGTGGCGACGGCGGCGTCGAACACCTCCGCCGGCGCGCTCGCGTTCTGCGTGTTCATCAGGAACCTGGGGCTCCCGTCGTCGTCGGCGGCGGCGGCGAGGATGTTCCTGTTGGAGAAGGCGAGGTAGCAGAGGTCGTAGACGATGAACGCGTCCTTGTCGTAGGGGCACAGCTGCTGCGCGTCCTGGAACGCCGTGGCGACGCAGGACTCGCAGGCGGTGGCGTTGGCGACGTCGCCGCGGCAGAGCGCGAGCGCGTAGACGATGTCCGGGACGGCGCCGAGGCTGTCCTTGGCGAAGAGCGTCCGGGACGCGGAGGCGTTCTTGGGGAGGGTGGCGGAGAGCCCGGCGAGGTTGGACTGGTAGGTGCCGTTCGCCGAGTAGTTGCCGCCCTGCCCGCAGAACTGCCACGGCTGGGCCGCCGCCACCGGAGCGAGGAGGAGCGCCGCGGCGAGGCGGCAGAGGAGGACGCGGTGGCGCGCAAAGGTGGCCATGGCTGCGGACTGCGGAGATGCTCTCCGTCAAGCTAAGTACTGTCGCTTCGTTTGACCGGGTGCGGGCTGTGACTGACGTATAGGACCCCTACTGCTCTCAAGGTGATGAAGCTGCAGAGACAAAATTGAAGAAGAAATTGAAGTGATGTGACTTGTCTCTTGTTTGACCTCGGACTTCTTCATCAGCTCAGCAAACAAAGAAAATTCAGGATCTGTTTAGATCCACTAAAATAGTAATTTTTTTTTGTCGGTTTGGACAATATTTTAGCAAAATAGATCTAAACACTAGTAGTAAAAAGTAGACAAATTGACATTTATCATTTGGGAGTCCAGAGCAGCAAATTTGGCAAAAAAGCGTTGGGCCCCATGCGGGACGCGCACTGCCCCTCACTCGCTCTCTCTCTCTCATCCGCTCCCAAAAATTTCCCTATCCGCTCGCTCTCTCACCCTTGCTCCGCTCGCGCCGCCGCTCATGCCGGCTCTGCCTCCGCTGATCTCACCCGTCGCTGCCACCACTCATGCCCGCATCCGCCTCCACCTCCGCCGAACTCGTCCGCCGCACCAGTCCAAGACCTAGCCGGAGATGGACGGCGACGGCTCCGGCACGAGGGACTTCATGTCGCAGGCCGATTCACTTTCCCCCGCCGGCGGGTAAGACCCTTTCACCAACTTCCCGTACCACTTTATTAGATCCGACAACGGTAGTGCTTCAGGATAGGCATGGCCCCCCTCGACGTCAACTCCGACGATGATGGGTGGCCGGGAATGGAAAGCTACAAGGGCCTCCTTCGCTCCGGCACAAACACTAGCAGCAGCAAGAGAGATTGCTAGAGTGCAGAGACAACAGCAATTAATAAGGTGCCATTAATATGGACAAATCAGTTTTTAATGGTAAAATGAAAATACTTTACCATACATCTAAACACCAACTTGTAAAATTGCAATGTCAAATTTTTTGCTATCAAAACTTTTGACAAAAAAAAATTACCGCATCAAATTGATTTTAAGAGGCCCTCAGAGAAAAATGTTCTTAGGTGAGGGTTAGGAACCCTTACCTCCCATACGGAAAACAGAGTGATGGATTAGTGCACGATTAATTAAGTATTAGCTAAAAAAAATTTAAAAATGGGTTATTATGATTTTTTTAAACCAACTTTCCTATAGAAATTTTTTGCAAAAAATACACTGTTTAGACATTTAAGAAGCGTGCGCACGGAAAACGAGGGAGGAGATGATAGGAACCAGAAGAGCCGAACTCTAGTAACTTGCGACCAAATTCGTACAAAAAGCGGACGGTGAAAACCAATCGATTTTATCATGTAGGGAAACGTGCTCCATCTTTTTAATTTTTCCCCCGAACCTGCAAAAAAGTTACGTATCATTATAGGCTTGTTTAAATTGATGGTATTTTAAACTATATCATTATTTGATAAAATTAATAATTATGTAGCTATATGTAGTTTGCTATCTAATTTTGGTAATGTCCATAGAATTTTGATAATATTATGGCCTTGTTTAGTTCGTGGTAGGAAAAGTTTTGGTATGTCATATCGGATATACGGATACATATTTTAAGTATTAAATGTAGACTAATAACAAAACAGATTACAGATTCTGCCTGTGAACTACGAGATGAATTTATTAAGCCTAATTAATCCGTCATTAGTAAATTTACTGTAGCACTACATTGTCAAATCATGAAACAATTAGGCTTAAAAGATTCGTCTCGCAATTTACACGCAATCTGTATAATTAGTTTTATTTTTTTTGTCTATATTTAATACTCTATGTATGTGTCCAAATATTCGATGTGATAAAGGTGAAAAGTTTTTCCCTAGGAACTAAATAGGGCCTATACTGAGCACATCCTAGTAGAACTTGGCAATGTTGCCGATTTACCAAAATTTTAACATTATCAAATTCCGAAAAGGTTCATTTTATTATCAAACTGAACAGACCTATATTTAGAAGAAAAAAAAGTACTTCCTCCGTTTTAGGTCACAAGACGTTTTGATTTGGTCAAAGTCAAACTGCTTTAAGTTTGACCAAATTTCTAGTAACATTTTTAACTCAAGATAAATTTATTATGAAAATTTATTCAATTATTGATTTGATGAAACTAATTTAGTATTATAAATATTATTATATTTGTTTATAAACTTAGTCAAACTTGAAACAATTTGACGTTGATCAAAGTCAAAACGTCTTATAACCTGAAACGGAGGGAGTACCCGTACAAGCCCTTAAGAGCAAGTTTAATAGTATAGCCCACTACGAGCTCCAAATCATCTATAGCTAATGTAATAGTCAATTCATACAATAGTTGCTTACTATACTATTAATATCTGGTTCATCTGTCATACACATATTACGTCTTAGAGTCCGTGCTGCAGCTGGCTACAGATCTGTAGCCCGCTTCTTTTTTCTCTCTTTCTTTATCTTTTTATAATATGTTTATAGCTGGTTTATAGCCTGCTATTTACCTACTCTAAGGAGAGAAGGATCCAGGAGGCTAGCGCTTCGTCCCTAATGGCTGCACATGGGCACTGTTTGGTATGTGTTTGTGCCATGCGGGTAGCATCTTCTGTTTTGGTCAGAAAGATTGGTTGGTAATTGCTAAAGTCGGTTCTAGTGGATACAACCAATTGTGTTCATTTTATTCGGACATGGCACATAATACTAGTGATTAATTCAGGGTGAAAATCCTGATGTAGTTTATCTCGATTTGGCAAATTCGGTGCTGGTTTGTCACTTTTTTTTTTGTTGACGGTATCATCTCAGTCTTTTTTTCGATGGCAGATGTAAGCAAGCGTTGGGTCCTTCCTCAAAACGTTGTTTTGGAGTAGATATATAAAACTTTATGGTTTTGTCTTGGCTTGTCTTGACTGTATATATTTTGGATGTGACTAACCATATATTTTTGTAATGCCATTTTCAATGGAAGATATTATTTTTATATTTCCAAAAGTTCCACATAAGCAAAAAGGTATATAGTTGATTAAAATAGCTCATACAATTTATTGTTTTGTTTTTCTTGTTTCATAGACAATACATACAAGATACAAGTTGTATTAAAAACAATGTCGACATGGTTTTATCATCTGACCATTTCATTAATTTCTTGCCACATCATAAATAATATTGACATGACACCCCGTTTAATGAGAATGAAACTCATATTGGGATTGGCCTAAATTGTTATAAGATAACATAATATATTTATGTTTGTCTTAGGTTTTTTTTTCTAAGTTGTGTACATGCCTGGTTGATGCAGAGGTCGTGTGTAATTTCAGTCTTACCACTATCTGAAGAAATTGAAAAGCTAGATTTATTCGCAGTATGCCACCTTAGCATCAGTAAAAGGTTTGCAACAAATTTTTATTTTGTGTGTATAGCTTCTACATAAATTTTTGTCACTGGATGTGCAACCAACCAATTTTCAAACTATAAAATAAACAAGGGTGGCTTGTACGAACAAACAAAACCAACCAAAATATTGACTCAGCCAATGGAGAAATGCACTCAGAATTCAATGCTTCTCCTACAAGTTTATGGCCTTCTCCCTGAAGTTTGTTTCTTAAAAGTAACAATTCAATTACCGTTGTCACTGATTTTCTTATCTTAAATTCGAAGGATTTGGTTTCCTTATCTTGGTTCAAGCTCTGTAATTGACACATCATTAACTGACATCCCTCCCGACCTACCGGTCGAGGCAGTCGATTGGGAAGTTAGTGGGTGTGATTCCGAGTATATATTTGAGTCTGTGTCACTTTTGGGAATGAAAAATGATGGCTTGGATGGAGATTGAAGAGACACTGTGCTGCTGCTAAGCATGACATTCACTGTTGACATCATAGGTCTATCTGCTGGGTTATCTTGAACACACAGTAGCCCAATGTGAATACACTTGAGCATCTGGTCTCGAGGAGCATGGCTTGTAAGAGAGGGATCCATCATCTCCAAAATTGTTCCCATGGTCCAGTGCTCCCATACCTGCATCATATATTCATATTGGCAAAGATGATTCAGATTTTTGCAAGAAGAAGTAAGCTACTTAAATTTGTAGAAGAGTCCAGGAAATGAGCAAGGACTCACAAGACTTAGGAGATCGTTTGATTGATCAAAGCTGAGTGAACCACTGCTTCTCCTTCCTGTCACAATTTCTATCATCAATATGCCAAAGCTAAAGACATCTGACTTTACAGAATAGTGCCCACGCATCGCATATTCTGGCGCCATATATCCGCTGCAGTAAGAGAATAAAATTACTCATGCTGACATACTATATTTGTATCTGATTGGGTTAATATGGACAATACTTACTACGTTCCGACAACATGGCGTGTGATCTCCCTTGTTTGATCACCCCCAAATAGCCTTGCCAAACCAAAATCCGAAATCTTAGGAGTATAGTCGGAGTCCAATAGAACATTGCTTGCTTTGAGGTCCCGGTGAATTATTCTCAGCTGAGAATCTTCTTGAAGATATTGTAATCCTCGAGCAATTCCGTTTATTATCCTAAATCTTTTTCCCCAGTCTAGTTCCCTCCTTTTGTCAAGATCTGCCAGTTGAACAAGAAATACCATTAGTAAACCACAGTTTTACCAGTAATTTGTTGAATTCTGAGTAGAGAATAGTACCAAATAGAATGGTGTCGATACTTCTATTGGGCATGTATTCATACACAAGCAATTTCTCATGTTCTTGCAAGCAAACACCAACAAGCCTAACAAGATTCTTGTGCTGAAGTTTGGCGACCAAAACAAGCTCATTCTTTAGCTCTTCTATTCCTTGTCCTGAACTCATAGAGAGCCTCTTTACAGCTATCTCTTCACCATTAGGAAGGACACCCTGCATATAAGTGTAGGCACTCACTTATTGAAGCAGAACGCGAACATAATTACATGAAGTGAGAGATATATATGATTGTACCTTATAAACCGAACCAAATCCTCCTTCACCAAGCCTATTTGTCTCGGAAAAGTTACCTGTCGCAGCACGCAGCGTTGATAGATCGATAAAAAGTGAATCTACGCTTTCAATGTCCTCCCCCATTTGCATTGAATCTATCAAAAGAGGGCAACAAAATTTTGATGCGATGTAACTGAAATAAATGTGACGTCATTTCCAACTAAAAATTGTAGGGAAGAATAAAATTCGAATTGTCAAAGGGAATCACTATTTCCCTATAATAATAATCAAAATTGTTACTGAACTTACATGAATGTTGCTGTTTTGACCTTGATCTTTTTCTCCGCCTCTGAACAGAAAAACAAATGGCAACCATAGCCAGCAATACAACAACTAGGGGCAGTGCAATGGCTAGAGCTGTTCCACTTTTATTTTTCTTTCTTTCTGCAAGCAAGTGATTTCAATTTCAGACAGATATGAACTTAACGAGACTAATTCATAACCTAAATATGATGATACATTTCCACTATAATTAAGTTTCTGTTCAAAAAGGTACATGCTACAGTTCAACACTTTTCAGTTTTTGACCTGTACAGCACATCGCAAACTTTTCAATATATTATACAGGGCTTTCTTCACTGTAAAAAAATGGCATTTTAGAATATGGTTTCATCTTCTCATGTTTTTTCCTACTTAAATGGCAATACATGGAGGAAACCAAAATCGTTGTTGAACTTTACATGTTTAAGGCACATATATATTGCATAATGGAAATGCAGTTATTACCAATTCTACATGGAATAAATGTGTGAAGAAACAGGACAACAGAAATGTCAGATCTATCCAAAAAAGGGCAAAAAGAGCACAGGGTTATCTATATTAATATGTCATAGCAACCAGATTTCTCTGACCAATGTTCAGTAATCCCCATGCAACCAATTTCCCTGATAAAGACATTTTTGTCTTTACCTAAAAAATTTGCAATTCAGCCCTACTGCAGAGCAGCCACAATTCTTAACGCAGTAGCATTTCTAACCTAGACAGCACAAAACAATTTAAAGACATGCAAATTAGTTTAGGGGTTCTTTCTTCCTTTTTCTTCGAACTGATTGTAAGTTTCTCTCTTTCTCTACTCAAAACTACTACTATATTGGTATCTTCGGTAAATTTTTTTTCCTAGTTTTCTCAAAATTGATGGAAAACTAATTATGAGGAGTTGTTATTGTGCTAAATACCAACACCCCATCTGTTTTAAATTACTCATCGTTCTAGCTTTATTTTAAGTTAAACATTTATCTTTCACCATTAACTTTTAGAAATTCATATAATTTAACATGTGAATTATATATATTATGAAAGTATTTCTCATGGTAAATCTTAAAAACATAAATAGTGTGATGTTAAACTATATGATTTTCTACACATCGATGCTTAAATATACAAATTTTTGACTAACAACAAAGGTAAAACGACAAGTAATTTGAAAAATGGAGGGAGTGCTATAAATTTACTCCAAACGAAACTGATTTTTGACCGCAAATCTGCAACTCACCTCCGGTGTGCGCCGGTGGGGTCATGTTTGCTGGTCCAGGTGCAGGCGGAGGCGCCGCCGGCGCCGCCGGCGCCGGGAGCCGCAGCATCGAGCCTCCGGCGAAGAAAGGATACACCTCGTACCTGTAGTTGCAGCGCGTCCCGATAACCCTCGCGCCCCTCTTCCGGCCGAAGTACTGAGGTATCAACGCGATTATGCCCCCGAGGCAGCTCCGGCAGTCGTCCGGCGACATGTCCGGCGTGCACTGGGACAGCCCGTAGATGGTGGGGTCGGCGGCATCGAAGGCCTCCTCCCCCGTGGCGAACCGCCTGGACGAGTTCGCCGCCGCGTAGCCGCTGGTGGCGTTGAGGAGGGTGGCGGCGGCGGCGTCGAACACCTCCGCCGTCGCGCTCGCGTTCTGCGCGTTCATGAGCATCATGGGGCTCCCGTTGTCCGTGGCGGAGGCGAGGAGGTTGCGGTTGGTGAAGCGGAGGTAGCAGAGGTCGTAGACGATGAACACGTCCTTGTTGTAGGGGCACAGCTGCTGGCCCCCCTGGAAGGCGTTGTCGACGCAGGACTCGCAGGCGGAGGCGTTGGCGTCGCCGCGGCAGAGCGCGAGCGCGTAGACGATGTCCGGGACGGTGCCGAGGCTACCGGCCGCGAAGAGGGCGGCGGAGGCGTTCTTGGGGAGGGTGGCGGAGAGCTGGCGGAGGTTGGACTGGTACGCGCTGTTCGCCGAGAAGTTGCCGCTCTGCCCGCAGAACTGCCACGGCTGGGCCGCCGCCATCGGCGCGACGAGGAGGAGCGCGGCGGCGAGGAGGCAGCGTACGCGGTGGCGCGCCATGACCGCGGAGACCCGTCGTCACTCGTCACCTGTGGGTTGGAGAAAAGTTGTCCCGCAAGCTATGTAACGTGCGGCTTTAGTTTGACCAATTGACCGTGTGGTGCTGGCTGAGAATGACAGGTGGGGCCCAGCTTCTCGGTGCTCAACTGCTCCAGAACCTGCAGAGACAATCATCGCAGAAGAAATTTGCTGTGATGTGACTTGTCTGCCGACTCTGACCTCAGCCTCAGCGTCGAAGACTTCAAGAAACTGTTGATCAGCTCAACTAAAATGATATCAAAGACTTCTCTCAACTGAAAGAATTCGTAGTTTAGTTTGACCAATTTCATACAAGTGAAATTTTCCATTATGAAAGAATTCGTACAAATAATGAACACCAATCTATTCTGGCAGTCACATTCTGAGTTTCAGATCATCTAGGATAGGGATCAGTATTGGTGACATCATTTACAGAGAATTTATCCTCAACAATCACGCCACTCTTATCATACATGTAGTTGCGATGTCTGTGTTGTTGTTGATAAACTGAACTGAAGTCCCCTCCAAAGAAGAATGCCGGTTGCCGCGGTTGCTGGAGTTTTATTCTGCGTCTGGTTAACATTAGAATCACTGAAGATATGCTTGGCCTGTCAATGGGGCTCTCTTGGACACAAAGAAGACCAATGTGGATGCATCGTAGCACTTTGCTGTCGGAATATCCATCAAGTGATTGATCAGCCAGCTGCAGTGCCGTCCCCTTTGTCCAGCAATTCCACACCTGTTATATCAATGTAGTCATTTTTTTTTCAGTTGAAACTTGAAAGTCTCTTCAGATTATCAAGCAGTAGAGGCCACCATAAAAGTTCTAAATCAAGTAGAGCTGAAAATAGGGCTTACTTCTGTCAGGAGATTCACTGCGTTGTATGTGGTGTCGAAACCGCTATTCCTTCTCCCGGTTACAATTTCAAGAACCAAAACACCAAAGCTGAAAATATCGATCTTAGGTGATACCTTCCCAAATAGCGCATACTCTGGTGCCATATACCCGCTGCATGTAGAAGATCAGCAATAAGTCTACACTTTGGAACTGGGAAACTTACATTTATCTCATTCAAGTTTCAGTTATGTTTGTGAACTTACTATGTTCCGACAACTGTAGCCGTCTTAGTCTGAGTATGGCCACCTCCTAGTAGCCTTCCCAACCCAAAGTCTGCAATTTTTGGGTTCATGTTTTCATCCAACAATATATTGTTCGCTTTCAAATCACGGTGAATGATCCTTATGCTTGAATCTTCGTGAAGATACAATATTCCCTTTGCGATTCCAAGAATGATATTGTACCGTTGCTCCCAGTTAAGTGTCTTCGCCCTACTAGTATCTGTTTCAACAAAATAAATTATTTGAATTAAACATTTTTTATCATATACAATATATGGAAGGCCATACTACAATCATGTCATATCTAAAAAAATTACTACAATCATGTAAATGGAGATTGTTAATTGTACATTCTAGTATTAGCTAATTTCTGTAGCAACTCGTTTGCCGAAAATGCTACAGTGCTTGGATTATCCATCACACTCCATCACTACTTATACAATACTCATTTAATTCTTGTCAATCCCTTGGCATAGCTGGTTATAGTATAGCTTTTTAGAGGAAAATTAACAATTTTGTGCTCAAATGTAAGCATAAGTTTCAAAAGAGATCAGTTTGCAGTGTGTCACCAGACAAAATACTGGATCAGCAGCCATAGAGGAAGGAAAGTACCAAAAAGAAAGATGTCAAGGCTCCCGTTCTTAATGTGCTCATAAACAAGCATCATCTCATCCTGATGCGAGCAAAAACCCAGTAATCTGACAAAATTCTTGTGCTGAAGCTCAGCCAACAACTGAAGTTCATTGTGCAGCTGGTTCAGTCCCTCTCTGGTGTACTGTGCTTGTGACAGCTTCTTCACTGCTACTTTTTGCCCATTACCAAGCTTTCCCTGCAAAACGAACCTGTTATAGAGAAGAAGAGAAAATGGTAGTCAGGTCTATTTTTTTTTTATCTTACATACTATGGTTATTTACCCTGTACACAGTACCGAAACCGCCTTCCCCGAGCTTATTACTGTTAGAGAAGTTATCAGTTGCAATTTGCAGTGTTGGTAAATCGAAGATCGCGCAATTTCCTCTTTTGATTTTGTTCGGTGCTGGGATGATTGGAGCTGGCATTGGGGTAAAAATGGCATCAACAGACTGAAACTCATGCTAATTCTGAATGAAACATAAAATGTGTGCCACTCACTGTTCTGGTTTTTGGAAGCCTTCCTCCTCTTCAAGCAGATGAAAACAGAACCTGAAATAATCAATACAAAGACAATGGAACAAGCGACTGATGCAGATATTATCACAGCTGTCCTCTTTCTTCCTGCATGAATCATTATTTACAAACAGAAAATAGTATTAGTACTCGCAGAAATGGTCAAGGAAGGACACCTCCGCGTTAAATTTGTCATTAACTGGTCAATTAAGCAACTGATTGTGACGGGACTGATAAATTAAGAGGTAGCAGATCCGGTTTTTATGCAGGCGATGTGTAGTTTGGTCGTGCCTACCCCTACCAAACTTTGTTGACAATGGTGAAACAAGTTAAAACTGGAGATAATCTTTTCGATATGAGAGGAGGCAAACCCATGGAAAACGATGTAACTAACGAGATTTATCGATCTAATACCTTGAGCTTGACTAACAACCATATGATAATCATAAAGTGGACAATTTATACCTTGAGCTTGACTAACAACTATAAGATGTGCATGGCTAACGCGCTTTGAAAATATTTCCATCTTCTTCTTTTGATGTCTTTGTAGCCTGACTTTTCTTATTTGACCTCGTAAAACTAACTAGAACATTTTAAAAAAAAACAGAGAAATGTGTATACCACATAACTTATGTTATGAAAAAATGACTCTTCAGTTACTCGCTAGTCGCTAAACTATGCGCTCCACAGGTTATTGGTATTAGTACTCCCTTCATATCAAAATATAAAAACATATTTTGTTTCGGCAGGACAAAATTTTGATCAACAATTGCTCTATTAGGATATCTTATGTGATACATATTATAAAAGCATAATGATAACTAAGTACTTTCGAATACGAATATAATAAATTCAATTTTGTGTCACCTAAATATATTATAATAAAGTATTGTTGGTCAAAAACTTGTCCTAACAAAATAAAATGTGCCTTCTCTTTCGAAACAGAGGAAATAATGTACAAATTAAAATTTTAATCATATGGTGACTACATTTTGAATCATATTGAATTACTAGATGGAAAGAATAGTCTACAGCAGTTACTACCTGTCAATTATTAATTTCAAATTATAGAATAAAATAAAATACTGATTTTATAATCCATCCTAGTAATATAGTTTCTGTGTTTTTTTGTGTTTTATTTAATATTTTGGAGTTTTGGAATTAATCATAAGTAATTAGTGTTGGGGTTTCAATTTAATATTTCAAAATTAAAGATTAATAAATATAGGGTTGTCCTCATATTGGACTTTGGAGGCTTATAATTAGCACTTTTATGTCTTTTTTTTTTGCTCAAAATTCGGATATAAAAATTAGTAAATACTCCAGTTTGTAATTGATATAGCCTTTTGTTTTATCTAAACTACAGTATTATAAGTAGGAGTAAAGATTAAAGAGTCCACCATATTTCTATAATTGCATGTTTTATTGAACATAAACTCTAAATACGATATACGGTCACAATCATATAATCCATCCAGGGTTGACGGCACGGCAGAGACTAACTTGAGATGTAAACCATTTTGTCACTGACACTACAAGAAAACAAAATGCCCTTGGCGGTCAATTTAGTTATTCCGTCGGCCGACCTTCAAATCTAGAGAGCCGGAGATATTAAGAATTTCTTGGTAGCTAACCACTTCCTCCGTTTCACAATATAAGTCATTTTAGCATTTTCCGTATTCATATTGATGATAATGAATCTAGACATATATATGAATGCGGGAAATGCTAGAATGACTTACATTGTGAAACAGAGAAAGTATAAGAAAAAAATTTTAGATCTCTATCAACTGTCAAAAAAAAAAAGAACAAAAAAAAACTCACCTGCTCTGTCCGCCGGTGGTGTCGTGTCCGCCGCCACCGGAGCGGGTGATGGCGCCGGCGGCGATACATCAAACGCCGGCGCGTCGAGACGCAGCAGTGGGCTTCCCGGGAAGAACGGATGCACGTCGTACCAGTAGTTGCACCGCACCCCAAGAACCCTCCCGGTCGGGCTCCCGCTGAAGTAGTCGGGATCGTTCACCCACGAGATTATGCCGGCCAGGCAGCTCCGGCAGCCGGCCGGCGACATGTCCGGCGTGCACTGCACCAGCGCGTAGATGTCGCGGACGCCCCAGCCGCGGAACGCCTCCACGCCCGTGGCGAACCGCCTGGGCGAGCTCGCCGCCGCGTGGTCCGCGGTGGCGTTGAGGAGCGCGACCACGGCGGCGTCGAACACCTCCGCCGGCGCGGTCACGTTCCGCACCTTGCTGAAGTAGGCCGCGAAGTTGTCGCCGTCGGCGGCGAGGAAGTTCCTGCCGGAGAAGCGGAGGTAGCAGGGGTCGTAGAACACGGTGGCCTCCCTGGCGTACGCGCACAGCTGCTGCCCGTCCTGGAACGCGGCGGCGACGCACGCGCCGCAGGCGGTGGCGTTCGTGGTGTCGCCGCGGCAGAGCGCGAGGCCGTAGACCGTGTCCGGCGGGTCGCCGACCCCGCCGGCGGCGAAGAGGGCCGGGGAGGCGGAGGCGTTCTTGGCGAGGCCGGCGGAGAGGAGCGCGAGGTTGGACTGGTACGTGCTCCTCGGCGCGAAGACGTCGCCGCTGCTGCCGCAGAAATGCCATGCCTTGGCACCACCGGGTAGCGCGACGGCGAGGAAGGCGAGGAGGAGCGTAGTGGTGCACGGGTGCATCGCCATGAGTTGAGATGAGAGTTGGTAGTGATCGATTATCCCCGCGTAATCTTTTTTGTAAATGATGGAGATGGTTTTTTGATCCGGGTCAGACGACAAAGAATATGATTATATAAACGGTAGTACATGTGTTCACAATATCCTTTGATCCGGAATGAAAGAAAGGACGAGGTTTAATGAAATAGACATGACGTCTATATATGAACACGCTGACTACCTACAATATTCCAACGAATTTTGACACTACAATGAAAGCGTGCTAAATTTTCGTCATGAAGGGGTTGTTCAAATTGAAGTCATTTCAAACTATACAATTTTTTTAAGTTGTCAAATATGTGTATCCATTTAGTTTCTTACTAAACTCTGGTAAATATATAATGGTAAATATATAAGAAATTCTACCAAAACTTAGCAATATTGTCAAATTGTCAAAATTTGGTAAGATTTATTTTAGCTACAATCTGAACAGACTTGAATTCTTAACCCAAACTAATTTAGCAACATATAGAATTAAATAAGTAATTAAAGTCCCTTAAAAAAACTAAACAGCGAAATCCCGTAGAATATCTTGAATTAAATAAGCAATTAAAAGTTAAAAAAAAAACCAAGAATCCTGTAGAGACAGGAATAGAATAAGTGGAAAGCCATCTAGCTTTCCGCTCTATAGTTTGTGTTTTTGCAGCGTGTGGTGTCGGGGCATGTGTTTTGGTGTATATCCTTCCTCGATGAAAAACCTTATTGTAACCCTTTTTCCCTCTATCTTAATAATATTTGAATGACTTCTTTCGGTCATCCTAGCAAAAAAAAAAAAGAAAGAAAAGAAAAGAAAAAAACCATCTAGCCTTACCTATTCCCCTTCTGTCTCTCTAGGGTTTAGAAAGAGTGTCACACCCCAATCTGATACCGCCGTACAACGGCACCTGACAGGAGCGTGTCGTAGGGAAAACGGCGCGAACCGCTTCCTACGAAACCGCGATCTCGGTACCAGTCCCAGGACATAGTGCTGGTACCCACGGTGACAAATATGAATCATAGCAATCCTTAAAATAAATAGAGGACTTATTTACCTTAACTTAGGTTGCAGCTCAGACAGCCCGAGAATACAACCGACGACGCGGACGAGGAAGCACCAACAGCAGCAGCAGCAGCGGAACCAACGGTCTAACACCCAACACCACAGGCGACGGCTGGGAACCAGGACGAAACCCTAATCTTCACTTCACCTTATCTTCTCTTCAGGGCGGGGGAACTATATATATATTTATAGAGCAAGGGTGAGTACTTTCGTACTCAGCAAGTCACGGGAATTTAGGTGTTTAATGCAAGCTTGGAAGAGAGGCAAGGTTGTTTTGCAAATCTTTTGTTTGAAATCATTTTGAAATCACTAAGTGATTTATTTCTTTCTATGTTTGGGCGAAAAGAGACTTGCGTCTCGATTCGACTTTAAGAGATGCTTTTCAACAACTCAATTGGTAATGTACCGACCTCCCGGGTCGGATCATTACTTCTCGGCTCCCAGAGCCATTTCACTTGGTTAATCGGCTCCCAGAGCCTTTTTCATTTTCTCGGACTCCCAGAGTCCAGCTGCCCAGCAGCACAACAATCCGCTTCCACTCGGGAAGCCTAGTCTATGATGCCCACAGACATCCTGAATCACACAGATTCGTTTCTGACCACTCAGGTCATCCATCTGCCACATAGGCTGATTCTGGTTACGATTCCCACACCACAACAACTTTTCACAAAGCACAGGCAAACAAATCTACGCAACGGGAACCACCTCACATCCGCCCATGACCGTGGGCACGGCTGTTCGAACAGTTTGTTAACCTCTGCAGAGGGGTACACTTTACCCACAAGACACGAACTTACTCTAGACACTGGCCGGTGTCAGAGGTTCGCGACAAAGCCTTTCCCAAGCCGACCCAGGGATACCTCATGCCACATAGAAGGATCAAATCCTCACATAAATATAGGCCATTTTAGGCATACACAAATCAAACTCCAACCACCTCGATCGGTAATCTGGCAAGCTTCGCGTTCTTGCCTTACCAGGAACCCGGTTTGGCTCCAACCGACCCCGCCCCGGCGTTCCCAACTATTGGCATGCGAGGTTTCCCTGAACCGACTAGCTACTTAGCCAGGGTGTCCCATTCCACCTTGTGGTTGCACTTTGATTATGTTCGATGAGTTTCCCACAGGAATCGGTCCTTATATGCGAATACGGGACAGTGCCACATAGGCACAACCCCCGCATCGCGAGTTTTCACAATTCATTTTATTTTCAAACACACCGACACCACATGTCGGGTTTCGAAGGCTTCACAAACCCATTTCCCAAGTTTTTGACAAGCAACGGTGTATGTGGGATATTTGGTATACGCGCTCAGAGAGCACGAATACCGAGGTACCACAAGGGTGGAGCGACAAGGAATCAGGGTAGTACGACCTACGGAAATTAGTGCGACTACTGGGTAGGTCCGTCGGTTTGGCACGCAAACCGAGGCCAAGCAAGTTAAGTGTGTGATTCTAATAATGCAAGTTACCAACAAAATAATAATGATTTTCCAATTATAGGAGCAATTGGTCAAAGGGTGACTTGCCTTGCTCAAGGTCTTCACGAAGCTTCACGAATCTTCGAGAAAACCCGCGATCGACGAAAATCCGATAACCGCAGCTATACGCAAACAATTGAAAACCTACACAAGACCCAAAAGAAAGATCCTATTTAGCCTAATTAATAGTGCCATTAAATAGATCTCAATTTTACGGAATTACTGGAAGTGGAACGGAGTCAATCGGAAGAGCGGTTGGGAAGATATGAATTTTGGAAGTTTGATTTGGATTTTCTGGTCAAGGAAATGATTTATCGGAATTTTCTAGAATACGAGAAATGGTTTATGGGATTTGTAGAAATAATATTCCCAAGAATATTATTGACAGTCACTGTCATGTGGGACCAAAGGAAATGGTTTATGGAATTTTGGAACAAGGAATTGATTTATGGGACAAAGGAAAAAGGATTTATTAAATCACTGAAAAAGAAAAGGATGGAGGGATGTATATTAGACTTTTTCGGGCGGCAAGGACGCGGCCCAAGGGTCGAAGGAGGCTCGGCCAAGCCATTTGGGCCGGCGCGGTCGCGGGAAAGGCGGCCCATTAGGGCGCGCGGAAGGGGGAGGGAGCGGTCCGGTGGACCGGGTGCACCTCGCGGGGTCCCGGGTGGGGCCCACATGTCGGCGGCAAGGTTCACGGTGGGGAGAGCGCACGCGGGTGTGTTGCTAGGGTTTGGTGGGTGCGGTGTGCGGGCGGTGCGCCGGGTGGATCGGATGGCAGCGGGCCCACATGCAGCCGGTTGGCGCACCGTGGACCGCGCGCACGGGAGGGGGGGAAGGAAGGAGGCGGCTGACCGGCTCGGCTCGGTCAAAGCCGAGGTGGCGCCGACGTGGCGCCTACGTGGCAGCCACGCGGGCCGGCGGGAGGAGGAAGAAGGGGCGGCCGAGATGGACGGCGGACGGCGGCCGAGTTCACCGGAGCTCATCGCGACGATTCGAGAGAGAGGGAGTACACCGGAACGATGGGACGGACGAGAGGAAGTGAGCCACCGGATCGGATTCGCCGGAAAGAGGCCAGAGGCGGCGGATTGCGGCGACGCACGCTGGCGGCGAGAAAAAGGGGAAACGGCGGAGGGGCGACAAGGATTAAATTCAAGGTGGTGGGAGTATCTCCGGGGTTCAAGGAGTTCATCTCCGGCGTCGGATGGGGCAGAGCGACGCCGTGGAGATCTGGCGACGAGCGGCGGCCTCCGGGAGCGAGCGGCGATGGTGACAAGCCTATGGCGGGTGACGGCATTGCTAGGGAACGGTTTGGGGAGACCCTAGGGAGCTCAAGGACGGTGTCGGTGAGGGTGGTCGATGAGCTGGGGCCCGACGACGGCGCGCGACTGCGCGCGGCGGCTGAAACAGAGCAACGGCGAGGCGCGCGGCGCATTGTGCGGCAGGAGGAGGAATACGGTGGGGGAGCTCACCGGCGAGGGAGGAGCGGCGTTGGCGACGCAGAGGGAGTCGTGACGAGGCGGTCGCGACGGCGGGGAGGCGCGGCACCGAGAGGGCGCGGCCGGGCAAGGAGGGAGGCAACGAGGCCGAAAGGATGATGTGTGCATGCACACGCTCTTGGCCACGGCAGTGCGGCACCGAGCTTGACGAGGCCGACGCCGAGGCTCACGCGGCCATTGGCACAGCGCGGCAGCGAGGAGGCAGTCGCGGGGCGAGCAGCTAGCGGCTGGCAACAATGGCGCGGGTGGTTCGAGCGAGGCGAAGACGAAACGAGAGGGGAGGGCGCGGGCTTTATAGGCGAGGAGGAGAGGTCGGTTTGGAGGAGGGAAACCGACATTGGTGGTCAAGCTTCTTCGGCTGGCGCGGCGCTTGCGGTCAAGGAGCGGCAGGTGGTGACAGCGGCTGTGGTCGGGGAAAAAGGCAAAAAGGGGAGGGAAAAGAGCTTGGCTCCCTTGCCACTTTGGGAGGAAGGAGAAAGAGAGAACGAGGGAGAGGAGCACGAGCTCTGTCTCTTGGTTTTGGAAGGATGCGGCATGGGGGCATCGGGGCCGAGCGATGACAGCGGCGATGACGGCTAAAGGCGAGCGGGGCCGGGCGGCTGCGCGGCGCAGGCGCGGCAGGGCCGACGCGGCGGCGACCGGGCGGTCGGCCACGCGCGAGCGCGCGCGCGGACGTGAGGGCGTGGTCGGATTCAAACGGCGGCGGCGGGAAATCGACGCCGGGGAGAGGGAGAGAGAGAGAAACAGAGAGAACGAGAGGGAGAGAGATAGAGAGAAAACCGAGAGAGAAGGAGAGAGAGCTCTCTCTCCCGAGCGGCTCATGTGCGGCGCACGTGGGAAGGGGGAAGGCGGCTGAGGGAGGGAGGTGGGCTGAGGGAGAGGAAATCGGTCCATCCAAAATACAGGGAGGTAAAGTAGACTTTTACAGAGAAAACTGATTTGGATAGAATTGGAGAGATTTTAGGGTTTGGACTCGAATTCAAATTTGATATTCGAACTCGAGGGTTTGGGGATATATCAAGGGGGATTCAAGGAGAAGTCATGGAAAGGATTCAAAAGGAATACTTGGGTATTTGTTCTCGGGAACATAGGGTGGAGTCAAGGAAAGGATTCGAGGCGGGATTTGAATAATTCTGGATTCGTAGAAGTATTTGGCGAGGATTCAAAGGAAGGATTTGAATTTCAGAATTTGATTTCAGAGACTCGAATCGGAAAAGGAATTTGGAGGTGGAGGATTTTGGTTTCGATGAGAGGGAACAACGGGATTAAATTGAGATCCTTGGCACAACTTAGACTCGCACACAAAGAACGAAAATTTTCGCAATTAGGATTTTGCCGAATTAGTTTTTAACGACTCACGAAAAGCGGAGCGTTACAAAGAGCTACAATGAATTTGTGCTTTATATATGTGTCTAAATTCATACTTAGATGAGATATGAAGATACCAAAACGTCTTATAATATATGACGGAGGAAGTATGTAAATAACCCTTCAGGAATGAGTATGCGTATGTGAAGTAACATACAGAGGGTTACAACTTACAATTATCTGCTTATACTATCATTTTGCTAGTATACATATTATATTACCGTGCCCTACTATATGTGGATCATAGCTAATATTTCTTTGAAGTCTGATGGTGTAATAATACATATGATCGGCTGTGTTCGGATAGCAGGGATGGGAACCCAATCTCCCCTCACGGAAAACGGAGCGGTCCATTAGCACGTGATTAATTAAGAATCAGCTAATTTCTTTTTAAAAAATGGATTAATTTGAATTTTTTTAAGCAACTTTCGTATAGAAACTTTTTACAAAAAATACACCGTTTAGCAGTTTGAAAAGCGTGCGCGCGGAAAACGAGGGAGAGGGGTTGGGAACTTGGAGTTCCAAACACAGCCGAAGTAGGTCTTTCCCTACATCAGCATTTTTTTTTTTTTTTTGCAAAACAAAAAGGGTACAATATGAATTCAGCATCACATTGGATTTATCTTGGCTCAAGCTCAGTGATCGAAACCTCATTTGGTGACATAGGCGATCTATCTGTGGACTATAGTTGGCCATGTGGGCCGCCCGGCACGGCACGGCCCAGGCCCGGCCGTGCCTGGGCCGAGACTTGTCGGGCCGGCACGGCCCGACCGACGCACCGGGCCGTGCCGTGCCAGCCCACGTGCCGCACTCACGGCCCAGGCACGGCCCAACACGCCTCGGGCCGTGCCGGGCCGGCCCGAAGGCACGATGGGCCATCGTGCTTTTCCTCAGAATAAGTCTAAATTTCCTCCCTCCTATTGGGCTGTGACATATGTACAGCTACAAAAAGTCTATTTTACCTCCCTCTTCTTTGGGCTGGGGTATATAAATAGCTAAAATAAGTCTATTTAAGGTCCCTATTCTTTAGACAGTTACATTTATATGTCTATTTTTAGTCCCTGTACTTTATGTACCGGGCCTGGCCTACCGGCCCATCGTGCCGGGCCGGCCCGACCGTGCCGGGCCAGCCCAGCGTGCCGGTGGGGAGGCCCAGGCACGGCCCGACAGTCGGGCCGGGCCAGCACGGGCCCGACCCAAGTCGGGCCGTGCCGTGCTTGGGCCGGGCCAAAAAGGCGTGCCGTGGGCCGGGCCTTCGGGCCTCGGGCCTTATGGCCAACTATACTGTGGACTGATTAGCTCCACGGAATGGCTCCGAGTACGAATCTGAGTTGACACTACTCTTTTGGATGCAAAATGCCGGCCTAGATGGAGCTTGTAAAGACACGGTGCTGCTGCTAAGCATCACATTCACCATCGACATCATTGGCCTCTCCGTGGGGTCTTCTTGAACACACAGGAGTCCGATGTGGACGCACTTCAAGATCTGGTCTCCAGGACAATGCCCCGCCATGGATGAATCCGCAAGCTCCACAACTGTTCCTGCCAACCAGTGCTCCCACACCTGCATATTTTGATAGGTAATGTAAATGCTCTGATATTAATACAAAACATTACTTGGGTGTAGAGTTTGTAATATATAGCTGATCTCTCCTGAGGTACTCACTAAAGTTAAGAGATCAACCGATTGCTCGGAGTCGTAGGAGACATTGTTTTTCCTTCCCGTGACGATTTCTAAAATCAGAACGCCAAAGCTGAAAACATCTGATTTGATGGAGTAATGCCCGCGCATAGCGTACTCAGGGGCCATGTATCCACTGCAGTGAGAAATTCTGTTATGTCAAGGACTAATGTGTACTACCGAATATATTAGTAGCCAATAATATCATCAGAACTTACTATGTTCCGACAACACGGTTCGTGACGTCTTGTGATTGATCATTCCCAAATAGCCTTGCTAAGCCAAAATCTGAAATCTTAGGATTAAAATCGGAATCTAACAGAACATTACTTGCTTTTAGGTCCCGGTGAATTATCTTCAGCTGAGAATCTTCGTGAAGATATTGTAAGCCTCGAGCGATCGCATTGACTATCTTTAATCTTTTCCACCAATCCAGCACATTGCTTCTATCAGGATCTGTCACATAGAAGAAAAAACTTCAAAATTATACATAAAAAAGTTTCAGTTATTGATTCACTGTTGAAAAGGCTGAAGAGTACCCACCAAACAGAATTGTGTCGAGGCTTTTGTTAGGCATGTATTCATACACAAGTAATTTTTCATGTTCTTCCAAGCAAACACCAAGGAGTCTAACCAAATTCTTGTGTTGAAGCTTAGCAACCAAAACAAGCTCATTTTTCAACTCCTCTATCCCTTGTCGAGAACTTTGCGATAGCCTTTTCACTGCTATTTCTTGATCACTAGGGAGGACTCCCTGTACAGATAGAGAATTTTTACTGGCTGAAACTGTAAAGTATTGAATATAAAAACTAAAATGGAATGGTATAATTAGCACCTTATAAACCGCACCAAAACCTCCTTCGCCAAGTTTATTGCTGTCATCAAAGTTGTTTGTTGCCACTCGTAAAGTTGATATACTAAGAATAAGTGAATCAATACTTTCTATGTCCGCTGGGTCTGTTGGATCTATTGTTTCAGAAAAAAAATACAACAATAATGGTGTAATGCATTAATGGAATTCTTGCTTTTGTATGAGAATGAAGTCACTGCATAGACAAAAACTTAATTTTGCCATTTCAAGTGTATTGAGAACACGTACTGGAAATTAATGGAATTTGAATGAACTACAGGAACTTACCTGCTATTGATGGCTTTCTTGCTCGTTCCGTCTTCCTCTTCCAGATATAAAAGCAAATTACTACAGCAGCCAGTATTGCAGCGACTATAGGCAATGCAATGGCTAAAACCCTACCAGTGGTGTTCCCTGTTCATCCCGTAAACGGAATGCATCAATTAATGTAAGACATAAGACAGAAACACAAGTATAAATAATTTTGACATCATTAACCAGTATACACTAACCATCTTTTTTTTTTTGAAAACTTACACTAACCATTCTTAAAGGAGCAATTTTACGATCCTTTAGGAGGTATCAATTTTTTATTGTAAATTTGGTACCTCACAGTACGTACCAAATTTTACACTAAATTTTTTGTACTTCATGGTACCTCCTCAAGGATCATAGAATTGATCTTCTTAAAAAAGAAACTGCATGGACTACAAAAGAAAATGACAAATACATATTTACTTACACATTATTTTTATCAAAATTACAGTGCACTTACATATCATATCAACTGAATTTACAAATGTAATTTTAGTTACATAGATCTATAATTTTATATTTTAAAGAAAATAACAAATGCATATTTACTTACACAATATTGTTATAAAAATACAGTGCACTTACATGTCATATTAACTGAATTTACAAATGTAATTTTAGTTATATAGGACTGTAATTTTATATGTTTTTAAAAAAATAACAAATACATATTCACTTACACAGTATTTTTAATCAGAATTACAATGCACTTACATGCCATATCAATTAAATTTACAAATGTAATTTTAGTTATGTAGGAGTGTAATTTTATATTTTAAAGAAAATAAAAAATGCATATTTACTTACACGATATTTTTATCAAAATTACAGTGCACTTACGTGTTATATCAACTAAATTTACAATTGTAATTTTAGTTATATAGGACTGTAATTTTATTTTTATTTTTTTATTTTTAGTTGTCTTATTTTTTCAATGGTTAAAGAAATCAATTTTTACATAGAAAATCGAAAGAAAGGGAGAGAGAGAATGAGAAAAGAAAGCGCATGAAAGAGAGAGCGAGAAGGAAGGCGGGAGAGAGAGAGAGAGTGAGAAATACGCCGTAACAGCTAGAAAATGGCCAGAAAATTCGGACCAGACCGGCCCACGTGGCTCCCCACGTGGCCTCATAGCGCTAAATCCACCACCAATCTAGACGCACAATCCGACGGCCAGAAAAACGTCAAATTTCAGACGAGAAATCACGCGACAAACGTTTAGCAAAATTGATCATTAGCAAAATTGATCATGGAAACATCTGGTATATGACTAGTCTAAAAGGAAACTCATAGATTCATGCGATTAAAGATGTGAACATCAGACCAGTCCACAAAATGACAAAGAAAATATTTTCTTCCAAATTAAGTTGTTCGTACTAAAAAACAAATCATGAAAGACTAATCTAACTTCAAAAAGAAAGACGAGTTCGTAACCTCTACACAGGGCCGGCCCTAGCCCTATGCAGCCGAAGCGACCGCCGGGGGCCCATGATGGTGGGGGGCCATGTTAGGGGGGGGGGGCATCTAATTCTAGTAGTAGGGGGGGGCATCTAATTCTAGTAGTCGAGTACCTCATCCGATGTTGAGATCAATGATTTTTATTCAGAATTAAAGGTGTTGCAAGTGAGTTTACCAGATTCTTCGATGTCTCCGCGCCTGAGATTTTAAAGTTTGTTATGGATGCAGATTGCTATACAAATGTTTCAGCTGCCTATCGAATTCTTTTAACTGTACCTGTGACTGTAGTTTCAGCTGAAAGAAGTTTCTCAAAAATTGAAGTTGTTGAAGAACTATTTGAGATCAACTATGTCACAAGAAAGGTTAAATGGCTTGGCTATGCGCTCAATCGAGAAGGATATCTTGAACACTATTGATCTTAATACCGTTCTTGATGATTTTGCATCAAGAAATGCCCAAAGAAGTATCTTTTCATGGGAAGCAATGGATATGATGGGGTTCTATTCTTCATTAAGTTAATGAATAATGATATTAGTTCCAAGTTACAAATATATTGTTATTTTGATCGATTTTATTTCTTGATAATTACCATACATGTTAAATTTAATATATGGATGTTTTTGTTTTTGTTTTGCAAGTAAAATTAGCATATATATATATATATATCATAAAATTTTATATATACCTTAGAGGGTCCATCGTGATGAGTTTGCCTAGGGCCCTCAAAATCATAGGACTGGCCCTGCCTCTACAACAACTTCTATGGCTAGGAATCAGTCACGATGGACAACTCGAGGTTTACAAATGCCATTTTCACCAAAAACAGGTCCCTAGAGGTTTTTTCAATAGCCACGACAATGGAACGGTTATCGACAAAAACAGGTAGAATTTGGACAAATTTTGCCAAAAAAATAAATTTTTTTTCTGTATTTGGACGATTCAGTTTCTTCATGTGGACCGACTCAAAGCCAATAACAGTGTTGTGGAACTGTGGACCAATCGATAATTAGATTGCTGATAGCATACTTAGGTACCGAATCAAATATCGTTTCAAATTCCTACGGTGAAATCAAACACCACTTCTATTCAAACCCATCGAACTAAAATTGCTGCACACATGCATGGACTGATCCTCTGTCCGTGACCAACACAAAATTCAGGCCATTTAGGATATCAGGATACTGTTTTCCCCCCTTTTGAGTTTAGCATATCGCATTGTTGAAATGAGATCTACTTCGTATATCAGTTTCACCCAACTCACCTCGTCGTCTGGTACCGGTGGTGGTGGCCGGCGGCGTGACGTTTACGGCCGCCGGAGATGGCGCCGGCGGCGCTCCCAGTGATGCCGCCGGGAGCTGCAGCAGCGAGACCCCGTCGAAGAAAGGATATATCTCGTACCTGTAGTTGCACCGCAGTCCGAGAACCCTGCCGCCCTGCTTCCCGCTGAAATACTTGGGCATCATCCCGACGATTCCCCCCAGGCAGCTCCGGCAGGTGGCCGTCGCCATGTCCGGCGTGCACTGCGCCAGCCCGTAAATCTTGCTGCCGTTGAACCCTTCCTCCCCCGTGCCGAACCGCCTGGACGAGTTCGCCGCCGCGTAGTCGGCGGTGGCGTTGATGAGGACGCCCACGGCGGCGTCGAACACCTTGGCCGGCGCGGACACGTTCTGCGTGTTCATGAGGATGAGGAACTTGTTGTCGCCGTTGGTGGAGGCGAGGAAGTTCTGGTTGGAGAAGCGGAGCGCGCAGGCGTCGTAGAAGACGGTGGCGTCCTTGTTGTAGGGGCAGAGCTGCTGCGCGTCCTGGAACGCGGCGGCGACGCAGCCGGCGCAGGCGGTGGCGTTGGCGGTGTCGCCGCGGCAGAGCGCGAGCGCGTAGACGATGTCCGGGACGGCGCCGAGGGTGGCGGTGGCGAAGAGCGTGCGGGACGAGGAGGCGTTCTTGGGGAGGGTGGCGGAGATGCTCCGGATGTTGCCCTGGTAGGTGCTGTTCGCCGTGTAGTTGCCGCTGTCGCCGCAGAAGTTGCCGAGGGGCTGGCCCGCGACGGGCGGCGGTAGGAGGGAGGTTAGGAGCGCCGCCGCCGCCGCGACGGCGGCGACGCAGGCGGGGAGATGGCCACGTGGCGTGGCCATGGCGCGAGGGTGGAGGTGGTCGGCGAGCAAAGAGGGATAAATGGAGAAGAGATGATAGATGAGCGGTGGGCCCTTGGTTGACTCGAGTGGAGCTTGCTTGACTCGTCTATGTTGCGCTGTCGTCGATCCTGACATCATGGGACCCAGGCATAAATGCTGGTGGGCCCACGTCAAGCTGCCGTGACGACCATTGCATGGCCGGCGTGAGGGCAAACAATGGGGATTTTTTATATTTTAGATTTTTATTTACAAAAACTTATTTTATAAATAGATAGGCTAGACAGCAATAAGTAGTGTCGAGAGCCTATTCGTGAAAGGAATATTTTTAATTAAAAAAGGATTTACTTGTAATATAAAAATATTTACATATAGCTCTCAGTGCCATGTTATTGGCATTGAAGTCCTATTTGTAAATAAAATAGGTCCTTAATACTAATATCATTAGCACCTATACAACACTATCATGTTTAGACGGGATAATATCTTAAAAGATATTATACGTCGATACCTAGGAATCGCATGATACATATAAGTATTTCGAATGGGATACATCATTATACCATTATCCTCAGCAATAATATCCAGTGCGCTTCCATCACGGCAAACAATGTGCCGAAACATGAATTCGGCAATAATAAAAGGGGGTAGCGCACGAGCCCTAAAAGTGGATGGATGCGGAGACAAATGATTTAGACAGGTTCAGGCCCTCTCAATGAGAGGTAATACCCTACTCCTGTTTGGGGATTTGAATCCGCCGGGTGTGTATTGATCTGACGATCTAGTTGTGTCTCATGCCCCCTAGAGGGCCTCCTGCCCACCTTATATAGGATGGGGGGCAGGATTACAAGATAGAAACCTTAACCAACACGGTATCGGTTTCCTAAATCTACTTTACAATCTTATCAAGCCAGGACTTTAGGCCGTTCCATAATATACAGGGAAACGTAATACCCAAGTCATGATCTGTTACATATTTCATAGATATAAGTTATCCCATATAACTAGTCGGATAACCATGCCGTGTGGGTATGGGGTACCCATAATCTCCACAGTAGCCCCTGAGACCTTCACAGTCGAAAAGATAATCTTCTCTCGAACTAGATTACTCCAAAGCCGAGTGCTTCAATCATCTTTGCCATGACTTCCCGAGTACTTTTACCAAATCTGAAGACTGTGGAGGGCTGAAAAATAAAGTCAGGTGCATCGACTAGATGCACCTAATAGGTGTAGCCCCCGACTATGTGGTTAATTGAACAAACCAAACATATAGTCAAGGAATAAATAATCTAACCAACCGAGTGGTTTCGATAATAGCATATGATGTGTGAATCCCTGAATAATATGATCCAAGTGATATACCGACTGCTTTGTAAAATATGATGCGTGTAACTTAAAGTCGACTACATTATTGAAAATTCACATAGCAAAACAGCTATAAAGAAGCTTGTATGTTGTGAATAAAGAAATTTCCAAAGTATTGGGCATACGCCATGCGCACACTGCTTTAACAGATGTGCTTAAGTCCCTAAAGACACATGGTTTCACCACACCTGAAAATATATGGCATATGTGGTGTAAAATCCGAGTAAATAAACTCATAAAGGATTTACCAACCGCCTAGAAAATGACCAAAATATATAATCAGCCCAAGCCATAATATTGGTCAATAAAAGTGTACACTTACGTGGCAAAAAACAATGATATTGTATCCAATCAATTGCTTTATGAACCCAAACAGCACCTTGACTTATATAAAAAAGTCAGCGGGCAGCTATATAAAGCATTACTGTTTGGCACCTTTTAAAATGCATTGTACCAACTCCTAAAAAGTTGAGTAACTGCGGTATAAAAGGATTTTAAGGTATTGGGCACATAATCACGCGCACTTTTGCCTAAGCAAAAAGATGCCTAAGTCCCTAAAAGAACGTGACAGGCCACACCTGAAAATATGGGCTGCAGACATATTAGGCCTAGGCCAAAACATATGCCCTCGACACCCTTTAAAGGATGACGCATGTAACATGCTCCCGAGTAATAAATCTTCCGGGTAATATAGACCAAGCGTAGCTCATATGAATAGCTTCTGATCTGAGTGATTATCCCTTATGGGATACTCCAAAATAGATATAAAAATTGAATCCCGACTGGCGCAAGTATTCGGTTGATAACCCTTACGGAGAATAATAAATAGTCCAGTCTTTGAGCATAGAAAATAGACCCATGATCATGAATTCATGTTGCATGTAACCGGAACAAGTCCAAATTGAAGGTATGATACTTGTGTTTGAACTAGTAAGCCTCTGAGCATATAGCTTGTCCTTCTTTGTAGTCACAATTGTCCATCGATGGTAGCTGACGCAGTTGGCATAGAGACAAGACGACCAATATAGAGATAATATTGCCCACCAGAGGTGGCAAAAATATTGGTGGTAGTGAAGATAGTGATACCAATCAAAAGTACTGAAGTCGCATAGCCATGGAGGCGAAGAAACCAGTCGGCGGCAAACAGATCAACTAACAATGAAGATGAAGGCGCCCAGCGATAAAGTTGTGTAGCCATGGCAGCGAAATAATCAGTCGGTGACAGACGAGGCAGATCAAATGCGATGACGAAATCCACCAATCATGAAGATGAAGAAAATAGTTGACGATGACAAACGCAACCGACATGATGAAGATGACGATGTCGATGATCCAGTCAATAGCAGTGTAGCAACCAATGATAATGACAAAGACGCTCATCAGCGTTTGCATAGTAGGTCAACCGTGAAGGTGAAATAATAAGTCGGCGAAAACATAATCATCCATTAGCAACAGCGGAGATGTCAGGGTCGATGAAGCAGAGGTGCTGGTGATGATGTCAGTGACAATAATCTATCAAATTAATGTTATAGCTGTTGTAGATGCTTTACTTGGAGGAGAGTTGATGTTGTTGCCCAACTCGTCTAAACCGAAATATTTGAAGTTGTTGAAGTAGAATGTCTGCTCCGAAGCAAAGATGAAGATAATGACTCCTGGAGTTGACTCGTTGGCTGATTAATTGATTTCTTCAGCTTGACATAAAATTTGTCAAATTTTGAGCCTTGTATTTGTATAGCCCCCGACTCTTTGATTAGTTGGGAAACAACTGAACATAGAGTCGAGAACTGTAGCTTCTTGTCGTCGAATAGTTATTGCTTGATTGAAGATATGTGTTGAAGATGTCCAAGTAGAAATCCTGAATATTGGAGAGCCACTTGTTGTAGTAAAATAACACGGCATCGCATGCCGAGATGTCGAGATTCACAAAGACGTCGTGGTTGGTGAAGTAGCGAAACTTGCGAAGTAGCAGCAATAGAGTTTGCCGGTGCCGAAGATAATAAAGATGAAGTCGCTCTACCATGATGACAAAGTTGCATTGCCGTGATGAAGTGAACACGAGTCGGCGTCAACAGAAGCAAACCGGTAGTGAAGACGCGCAGTTGTGAAGATAAAAGCACCAGTCGGCGGCGGCATAACCAGTCGGCGACGGAAGACGATGATGTCCATCAGTAGTGGTAGTGGTATAAACCAGACGTAGAGACGAGGGCACTAGTCAACAGCAGACGAGATGACCGGCGGTGAAGAAGATAAGGCCAATCAACACTGGCAGAATCATGCAGCCATGGAAGTGAATAAACTAGTCGGCAGCAGACGTAGACAGCTTGCGTTTGAATATGATGACGCCTATTAGTGGTGACGGCGACGTAGCCGGCCGTGAAGAAGATAGCATCAGTTGGTGTCATAACAGGCCAGCCGTGCAGGCGGAAACACCAGTCGGCGGCGGACGAGGGCAAGCCGGTCGGTGAAGACATAGACGCCCAACAACGGCGGCATAATAGGCCAACCGTGCAGGCGGAAACACCAGTCGGCGGCGGACGAGGCGGCCGGTCAGTGAAGACGTAGACGCCCAACAACGGTGGCATAATAGGCCAGCCGTGCAGGCGGAGACACCAGTCGACGACGGCGAAGGCAAGCCGGTCGGTGAAGACGTAGACGCCTAACAACGGCGGCATAATAGGCCAGCCGTGCAGGCGGAAACACCAGTCGGCGGCGGACGAGGCGGCCGATCGGTGAAGACGTAGACGCCCAACAACGGTGGCATAATAGGCCAGCCGTGCAGGCGGAGACACCAGTCGACGGCGGCGACGGCAAGCCGGTGGTGATGTTCTGACTGATCCATTCCTGCAGTGTAAGAGATAAGCTTAAAGCCATGAATCCCTTTTATGCATATCTGGATTTGGATCCTGCAGAACAAACATATAGGATGAGTAGTATCTGATGTAAATATAATACTCGAGAAAAATGCAAGTATTTTAAAATATTTATAAATATGTATTTCTCCTCTTGTCAATTTTGATTTCCCCGAGCAGATGACTCCTTACGTTTAAACACTCTGCCCGACTAATCATAGTCCCCAAGCATCGGGAGTCGGCCTAGGCACTTCCCAAACATGCATATGAGTGACATGAGTTCGTCATTAATGGAACAAAGTTTCACGGATCAGAATTTACTACTCGGGTACTTTTGCAATTATTAAGAGCAAAAAAAAAATTATCTCATCTCTATGCTTTTGATTTATTCCGAATAATACTTAGCACCTTGCGTTACTCGGTCCATCCAACAAGCTCCCGGGTGCTAGGAATCGGCCCAAAGTCAATCATCCATTGGCAAACCAAACGGAAAGCATAGGAAGATAGAACTCCATAACCCGATAGGTACTTTTGTACTCAGATTATGTCGCAAGCAATCAAGATAAATGTTATGAAAAATATGATATAACATCTGTAGCCCCCGACTCACTACTCAATGGAAGGCCAATTGGTGTAGTGAGGCAGAGGAAAAGGAAAAATATCATATAAAGAATAAAATAAATGATGACTTAGCTTTATCGTATTCCCTTGGTGACAGCAGAAGTAGCCGATGTGGGAACGAAGCAGTCCATCTCAATAGCGATGAAAACACCTGTCGGCGGCGGCAAAAGCAAGCCGGTGGTATAGATGACGAGGCCCATCAACGACGGCG